AGAGAAACCCTTCAACCTAAGATATTATGCTTGTAGTTTCAATAGAATCAGTCTTGTTTTGGGTATCTCCTTTAGCTCTGGCAATCTTGGAAATGTTTACTTCCTCAGAGATGCCCATCAGGAATTTGGCCTTTGTCAAAAGATGCTGTTCTGTGTTTCATATAAAGAAAGATGGGGACAAAAGACATATTCAAATGAGTCTTTCTCTGCAGACTTAGTTACATGAGATAAACATCAGGGTATTGTGTTAGCATGTCTGACCTCATTCTAATTATCCCATTTGCATGTAACATATGGATTTTCCACCGAAGTAAAAAAATTAAAATTTCAGGATCTTTCCCCCATTATATCCTCAAGAATGTCTTGTATTCTTTATGCAGGGTTCATTTAAAATTGGAAGTTTCTTCATTCAAGTTATTAACTAGTATTCTATGAAACTTTCTTCATGCAAGGTTTTAAAGTTACTACTAATAGCTGCACCTCTTAAAAGCTATCTGAGGCCTTCTCCTCATCAATCCCAAATCCCCAAGTGACTGAGAAGTAAACCAAGGTATAAAGTGTTCATCTGTCACATTCAGCATCAAGGGAATGTGAGGCAGAGGCAGCAAGCTCTGGTGGCCCAGTGCCTGGGTTCTTTTGTAGTCTAAACTAATCCACTAGAGACAAACCAGAAATGCAGAGTTTGAGTTTGACATGAAACAGACCTATGCCCAAGTACACTCTACCACTGAGTAGTTAAAGATGCCTTGGCAGTTTTTTATCCTCTCTGTGCCTCAACTGTCTTGTGTAAAATGGAGATCTACCTTGCAAGGTCATTGTGACTATTAGACAATACATATTAAAGTTCCTGATATACAGGAGAGCTAATTAACAACAAAAAGGTAACTATTACCATAATTCAGTACTCAGGCAAGTTAAGGAAAGTCAAGGGTTACTGAAATACCTCCCCCAATTATTTGGTCAGATGTCTGACACTGCGCAAGATTCATCAGTTCGCTTGCTCCACTAGGGTCCCCAAGTTGCCTACCACATGACAGGTTTTGAGATGCAGTCTCAAACACCTCCTCTGGCCTTTAGAGAGTAACAAGGAAGGAGAGAAGGCCTCTTATGATTTGGGTCTTCTTCATAGATGTTTGGACTAGGTCTCTTGAATACCTATTCTCTTTGGCCTGTCACCACCCTCTTGACTCCCATACCAGTCATTCACACTAAGCACCTTAAACTGCCCCTAGATTCACATAAACTCCTGCTGTGGAAATTATACTAGAGTTCTGAGCCATGGAATCATAAAGACTATATATAGAAAGTTTTTTTTCATAGAGCTCCATACTATTAGTTTTCATATTTAGTTAATAGTATCATTTTATAGGTCAGAAACTGATATGAAAAGAAGGTTGCCTTGATGGGGGTAGGAAAGATGGTAGACCGAGATGGATATCATTTCCCTAGGTACATGTATGAAGACACGAATGGTGTGACTCTACTTTGCGTACAGAGAAATGAAAAATTGTACTCCATTTGTGTACTATTAACTGAAATGCATTCTGCTGTCATGTATAACAAATTAGAACAAATAAATAAACAAATTTAAAAAAGAAATAAAGGTTTGCCTTGGCCAAGATTGAACTTTTGAGTTAAAAATATAAATCCAGATGTAGTGGTGCACACCTGTAATCCTAGAGACCTGAGACGCTGAGGTAGGAGGATCACAAGTTTAAAGCCAGTCTCAGCAATTGAGACCCTGTTTCAAAAAAAAAAAAGAGGCTGGGGTAAAAAGCACCCCTGAGTTCTAGCCCCAGTACAAATCAATCAGTCAGTCAGTCCATGACTTTCTATTCTGTGAAGGTCCCATTCTGCACTTGATGCAAAAGTATCCAAGGGTATCTTCTTTGAGGAAAAATCAAATGACACAAGATGCCTGCGCTACAGGGGTGCTAGAGGCTCAGGGGCCCTAGTGTCAGAAATAGGACATAAAGTTTATATCTCTAACTCCTTGTGTAATCCAAGGTGGACTTCTTTCTAGCGATCCCTAAGAGATGAAGTTGGAGACCTTGCTCACTCAGAAATTTGCCTGGTTTGTCAGCCAAACCTGGTCTAAGGCACTCATGGCCATCAAAGACTACAGAGGCCATAGTGGCCTACTTATTGGATGCTCCAAGGAAGTGGCAGCCACACACAGACTCATCCTAGATAAATTTTCATTTCCCTAAAGAAAGGCTACAAGAGGAATCAAATGATTAGATATGCTGGGTACCATGACACACACCTGTAATCCCAGAGACCTGGGTGGCTGAGGCAAGAGGATCTTAAGTTTGAGGGCAGCCTTAGCAACTCAGCAAGGCCCTGTCTCAAAAAAAAAAGGGGGGGGGGCAAGGTAAAGCATCCCTGGGTTCAATCCCTAGTAGTGGGAAAGAAAAATGGATGCTCTGGTTCCGAACCTTCCCTCAGAGGTACCAATATTTAAAAAGCTGCTGCAGTTGGCTGGTATAAACAAGCCAAAGCTACACCGACAAAATAGCGGCTCAAGCCACCTCTGACATGGTATCAAAAAACCTACAACTATCATCTCTTGATTTCTCAAAGAAACTGTGTCTTCCACATCTTACCAGGGACTCAGATCATCTTTAGAGGCCATATCCGAGTTTACTATGGAGAAATGGGTCCCTGCTATAACTACAAAATAATCATATTCATATAAGCAAAATTAAATTAAACCTGGATGGGGTGTGTGTGTGTGATACTCCTAAAAAAGCATATGCCAGCTCTAGGCAGCATCACTTAGACAAGGTCATCAGAACCCTCCTACCCCCACAGATCTCTACATTATCTCCTTGAATTCTAAACAGAAGCTAAAAAGCAAAACCAAAAACTAAGCTCTTCAATAACTTTGGTTTGCTTTTCTGACATGTGCACAATATTTAGTAATGAGTCAGAAATACTAGCCCATTCCATAATTATTTGGACAAGTTAGTGCTGAGTAATTTTCAATACTATTACACCTCAATGATGACACTCAAGGATGTCCTACTAACCACCAGAGTCACTATCATGTTAGACCAGTCCACAAAACCTATGGGGGGGGGCATAAATACAAAGGAGTATCTGAAGAAAAATTTTTACAAAGAACTGGTAGTCTCAGAATATGATTAACCTGGTTCAATCTCAGGAATCTGGACTAGATTCTCATGGGGCAAAGATGGCCTTCTAAAACCAATAGTAAGGGGCTGGGGATATAGCTCAGTTGGTAGAGTGCCTGCCTCACTGCACAAGGCCCTGGGTTCAGTCCCCAACACCATTAAAAAAAAAAAAAAAAAGGGTAAAACCAATTGTAAGGTTTAATTATTATTGAGAAATTGGCCTTGGTTAGTATCTTATCAAGAGACTTAATTGGCTCTTTTTCCCCTCACCCTATGACTTTTGGGACAGGCTATTAAAAGGGCACTGGTGAAATAATTTTCATGTAAGTCAGGATAATCACTCCTTCTAGAGGGTCAGGATGAGACTATGCTCTGTAATACTGCAATGTTTCTTCTTGACCTAGATGGTAGTTACATTTTATAATTACTTTAAATTGCATATGCTTAGCTAGGCGCAGTAGTGCGCCTTGTAGTCCCAGTGACTCAGAAGCCTGAGGTAGGAGGATCATGAGTTCAAGATCAGCCTAAGCAAATTAGCAAGGCCCTAAGCAACTTAGTGAGACCCCATCTTAAAATAAAAAATAAGGGCTGGAAATATGGCTCAGTAGTAATGAGTTCCAGCTCAAAAGTTTTAAAAATTATTCATTTTTTAATAAATGTATTACCAGATAACTGGAACTGGTCTATTATGCTTATGGATCTCAATGAAACCAAAGTAGAGGTAAGAAGTTTTTGGGTTCAAGCCACCTGCTAGAGAGCCTCTACTGGTGCTAAGAAGTGTGGCTAGACAGAGGCCCAAGAGCGCAATCTGCAATGGCTCAGAGGCGATGCTGTACAAGAAGCTAAGGCTGGTATTTATTGGGTTGATTCAAGAACAATCCAAACCTCAAATCTTAAGAATGACTCCATGATAGGCTGAAATCACTCAGACACGAACCTTCACAGTGACCTATTCAAAGCCAGAAAAGCAGTAAGTGTAAAAGATGTAGGACTATAAATAACTGAAAAATATAAAGTTAGGATAAAACTTTGTCTTTCGAGATAAATCATTCAAGGAGCTCAATGAGGTGGAAGAATGCACTCAAATGGATTAGATTTCAAGCTAAGATTCCAATTCACAGATCTGGGGGGTGAAAACAACAATCTGTACTCCAAAGGGGGGAAACAAAAATTCTAAAAGGGATTGTTTTGATTTCCAGATTGGGAATGTACAAGATTACTACCCCAAGAAAACTGGGTTCCTAAATTTTTCTTTCTAGGCTCAAATCAGAGGTCTGGTTTTATCTCTTCCAAGCTTACTTTGGTTGGAGAACTAGTATCACTTGTTACTCACAAATTTTTAGGAGCAATAGTCTTGTTTTCTAAACCCAAATCCCTTGTGGGAAGGTAACAGGGATAGTGGAAAATAAATGTTGATATGAAAATCAGCCTGGGAATATAGCTCAGTTGGTAGAGTGCTTGCCTTGAATGCACAAGGCTCTGGGTTTGATCCCCAGCACCACCAAAAAAAAAAAAAAAAATCAGAAAGCTATAACAACAAATTCATGTTTGGAGATTGATAACAGACATCCACTGCTTCTGCAGAACTGGATTCTTCTTCAGCTGCTGACTACAAATACTTGTCCCACTGGATGGCAGTATGAGAGAATAAGCAGGGTGGCCCTGCCTGGCCCTATGGACAGATACCAGGGAAGGGTGAAAGCACAAGCTGCAAGACGGGCCAGGGTTCTAGGTGCACATCCTACCCCGAGCCGACTGCTTCCTGCTTTCAGGGAAATGCAAAATCATGTGTAAATGTTTTTCCTTCTCCATCTTCTAGTTTAATCCCTTAATCTCCACCAAAAGTAGTCACTTGCTCCTTCGTTCTTCTTTTAGACATTTATTTAATGTACAAAATATTTACATCACTACCAGCAAATGTCTGGCCCTTTCACCTGGCCTGACAAATGGGCAGCAAGGATTGGTCTCTGTTAAATTTCTGAAACCATGTGGACACTCCCTGTGCTCACTTGAGGCCTGGTCTCCTTCAAGGACACTAAAAGGCCAGGGGGGTAGCTGGCCTCAAGCAGCTAGGCTACCAGGGCATAAACAAAAGAAATGATCAAAATAAGAAACATGAATAGAAAATTGCCCCCCAAATAACACACTATTACTTCTCTCCAGCTTATTGTACCTTTCCCCCGATATTGGCTAGTATCAAAGCAGGATTAGGAAAAAAAAAAAAAAAAGCAAAAGTGCTTTTAAACATAATTAGAAGGGGAAGTAGGGGAGGATAAAATTGGAGGAATAGAAAACCACAACAGTACCAAAGGATTTTATGAAACAAAGACTCTGGTACCTATGAACCACCACAGGGGATGTAGCAGCCCAAGTTGGACTGCAATGGTGCTTGGGATATTCTGAAAAAGTGCTATGACTAGAGCTTAAAACAACAGATCTAGCCAAGAAAATTAACTCAATCCCCAGAATCAGTTTCTGGAGGGCTGCTGGAGGGGAGAATGAAGAATCCAGAAGAGGAAAACTGCCCAAAGCAGCAAAAGTCCACGTGCCTCAGCTGGAAACCCCCATTTGGGCCCAAGGGTGACAGGGTGATGACTAAACTTTCCTGAACATATCCCATGGGAAAAGTATGGATGAGCAGCAGCACCTTGTCCTGGTCCCTGAGGAGAGCAGTGACCATGTGGCATGGAGAATCTTGGGGTGACGAGGTCCTGATGCCATATCCTGGACCCCAAGGATGAGTGAGGTCAGCACCCATGCCAAGAAAGGACAAATGATGCCTGCAGAGGAGTGAGGTCAGGCGGGAACTGCAGCAGCTCAGGAGGGCTTGTTCCTCATCCCTGGGAACAGGAGGGCTCAGACGGTTTCTAGGAGGCCAAGGCATTGCCACAAGTCCTGCCTTGTCTCAGGAGTCTGTGTACTTGCTGGTTTTGGCAATAAAGATGGCTTGTAATATTCTGAGGTGAGTGCCCCCATCAGGAATGGTAGCTTGAAGCAAAGCCTTCTTAAAAACTGAAATTTGGGAAGTTGATGTGACTTTGAGCCTTAAAATTGTTTGCATTCAAACAGTAATGAAAATGGATGTTGTCATCTTCCAAGAGACAGTGGCAGGTTCTCTTCAATCATCACTCAACAGTAGTATAGAACTTCCTCCCTCCTTGGTTCGCCTTCCTGGTAACTGATGGAGTGAAGGGTAGGACCTGGGATGGTGTATACTAGGTGTTTACTGTCTCATGTCCTCCAGATCTGTCCCCAGTAGCCTGACCCCAGCAATCTGTGATCATTGTTCCCTTGTCTCAGTGCTGTCAGAGAACATCAAGCAGAGAGAATGAGAGATTGCTGGCATATATTCTTACTATCCTTGTTGTTTGCTACCAAATCTTCTTCAGCAGAACATTAAAGACTCCCCACCTCTTTAACATAGCATGTAACTTAGAAGTCAGGAGGTAGGCCTAGTCATATCTCAGTGCAAAGAACAAACTAAGGGAAAGGCATCAGTAGTCTTTAAGCCAACATGCACCTAGATATGTCCCTCACCATAAGGGAGAATCACACCAAGCACTGGAGGCTAAGCCCAGCTATCCTTCACATTCTTCGGTCTGACTGCTTGTTTCACTGGCTCAAATTCAGGAAAAAGCTTACAGAATTCTTTGTAGATTACTGATCACTTCTAAAATTGCCTGCAGGGAAAGTGCCTTTTTCAGTTCTGACATCACAAAAAAAAAAAAAAAAAATCATTCTTTTTCCGCTATCAGTCCTCAGCAGAGGTAATCTGGTGCCTTGGCCTATGCCTGCCAATGTGCAGGAGGACAAAATTAAGGAACCTAAGGATTGTGGGCCACATTCTATCTGTGCTTGTCCTGGCTGTTGGCAAGCAGAGGATCATCCCACCCAGGAGAAGGACTCCTGTATCAGTCTGGTCCAGTAGTGAGGGTCAAAGAGGGCACCTCACAGGAGCATCAGCCAAGAAGCTGGAGCGAGACAAGACTTAAGGCTCTCCACACACCAGTTTCCCAACAAAGCTGAGCCTGTGTGTTATCTCCCTCAGCCACTGAGGCAAATACAGCTACTGAGGTCTTCAAAGGACCAAACAAGAAGAAGCAGCATGGTCCTCTTCTCGTGACTTACCAGAGAGCTCAGATAAGGTACCGTGTCAAAGTGGCCTATGGTAGATATAGGCAGGGAAGGGGGAGAACAAGGCTTGTGGTAACAAAATACTCCAGACACAGGGAAGCATGCGGCATCTTCTGGTTGATGGTTATGTGTGTTAGGATCAGCAGTTATGTCTGTAACATGTGCTCAAATGCTCCATAGAGCATGGGAGCCAAGTAGATTGCAGGAGAGTGGTCAGAGCATGCCAAAGCCTTCACAACCCTCGCTGATGGCCAGTTGCAGCATCTTGTGCACCTCTTCATACGAGTCATATGTAGGGAGGCACAGCTGGTTAAAACTGGAAAGGCAAGAGAAGTGATTGACTCACACAACCAAAAACACCGGCAAGGACTGGAAAGATAAATCCCAACCAGGGCCGTACACAGGGCAAGTCAGATACCTACCATGTGTGTGCAGTAGGTAGCGTGCTGTGGGTTGGAGCAGCAATAATCTGAAATGAGGGACAGAGGGCAGCAAAGCCTCCAGGTGGTAGCTGAGAAGAGCCTGTGGTGAACTGAAGTAGTCGAGCCAACTCCTCCTGGGTCAGACTGGAAACCACAGTCCAAAACCACTTCATGACCTGGCAGGGAGAGTACAAGACTGGAATAACATATGGTACACAGTCTAAGATTTGATATTTGGGGAAAGGAAAAGATAACCCTGAAGTAGGGTTGTGTCTGAGTTTACAGTTCTACAAGGAAACTGGTAGGAGATGCCAGAGTTGGCAACCTCTGTAGGAACATTGTAAAATGATCAGGAAGGTAATCACTGATTGCTTGGTTCTACTCCTTTGCATTTCCAAATTACTGCTTAAGTGGCAGTCAGCATTCCAGTCCTTAAAAACCAGGGCTCCTTTCTGCCTGGACATCTAACTGTCTGTCCTATATATCATTTCTTCCCAGTCAACATGTCTAACACTTTAACTCTTCTACTTCTTTCTTCTAAAATTTCTTCCTTACAACATAGCACAAATCCAACTTAAGGAGTTTGGCCCACTTACCTTTTCTCTGAAATGCCATGAACCACCAACAACTACTGCATGGGCTTTGAAGTCAGAAACACTGATGTCTCCGGTCCCACACATCAGCAGCTACAGAAAGATGATTGGGTGTTAAGAAGGACAAAGGCCCACTACACAGTCAAAATTATGTATTAACACACAAATACTGGATTAAAAAAACACCAGGAGAAAGACAGAGGTGAGATCACAATGCCAGAATACTGTTTGTGATCTTACTCCAGAACTACTGAATGAGAATCTCTAAACTATGCACTTACATAATTTGACATAGTCTGCCCTGGACTTAGCCTAGGAATATAAGAGAGTAAAAGCAAGTCCTTCCCCTTTGATGAGGATCACTAGCCCCCTTTATCAATCTATCAAATGGTCTTTCCTTTTTCTCAGGATTTAGCCTCCATTTTTTAATTTGTTTTGGTTTCTGATGGTACTAGGGATTGAACCCAGGGAATCTCCACTACTAAGCTACATTTCCCAGCTCCCTGCTTTTTTTTTTTTTTTTTCCAATTTTAACTTTGAGACAAGATCTTGTTGCCCATACTGGTTTCACACTTGTGTTCCTGCAGTCTCAGTCTCTTGAGTCACTGGGATTATAGGCATGTAGCACTGTACTTGGCTCCATCCTTTTGTGGCCTGAACTCTTACTACATTCCCTTAGGTCCTGCTTCTGCTTGATCATATAAATTTAAAAGTATGCCAAAAAATGAGAACATTAATGACATCAGAACCCTAAACATCTTGTTGATGTCCTAATTTGGTACAGGATCCAGCAAGTTACTTAGCAGACTATGAGTATTCATCCAACATCTATAAAGAATGATACATCCTAATCATGAGGCAAGAAAAGCCCAAGGAGCCCTGGCTCCTTCAAAAAGAACCTATTAAATAAACAAGTGGCTAAGAGTAGGAAGAGACCATGTCCTTCCTTTCTACTCACTTTTACACGCTGTTACAAGAGCTTTGCTTCATGATAAAACAAAATATACTGGGAGCTATTCCTCAACACCAAAATAACAGTACTTGGTGATAAGTCTATCAGAAACTTTAAGCTGAGACACAAAGAATTCGCTTCATTTCCTTTTTTGGTAGCAGGGGTTGAATCCAGGAGTATCGTGCCCAGCCCCTTTTTAAAATTTTTTGAGACAGTGTCTAAGTTGCTGAGGCTGGCCTTGAACTTGGGATCCTCCTGTCTCAGCCTCCGGAGTCACTGGAATTATAGGGTGTGCCACATGCCCAACTAAGAATTCCTTTTGTATGGTTTCCACATGTGAAGGCACAAAAGGTGAGGAAAACTGCAGGAGACTTTGATTCTTGTTCTCAAAGACAGTTCAGTTAATAAGAATTATGCAAGATCACCTGAAACTACATTTCTTTCCCTGTTTTAAAAGAACTTCCTCCCGGGGCTGGGATTGTGGCTCAGCGGTAGAGCACTTGCCTAACACTGCGAGGCCCTGGGTTCGATCCTCAGCACTACAAAAAGAAATAAGTAAAATAAAGATATTGTGTCCATCTGCCTCATAAGTAAATAGAAAAACAGAAGTTAAAACTACAATGAAATGTGACTCTCAACCTACCAAAGTGGTATCATTTTTAAAAAGACTAATTGTAAAAAGAAATTTTTTCAAATGACTGGCAGAAGAAAAAGCTTTTGCAACCTCTTTGCAAAGTAAATGACAATATGTATCAAATGTGTCTTTCTTTTTTTATATCATATTTACTTTAATATTTTCAAATGTGTTTTTTGAAAGCATGTTTTTTAACTTAATGACGCTACATCTAGGAATCTGGCATAAAGAAAATACTCAAGAATGCAGACAATGATTTATCTGCAATATGTTTACTTAAGCACTAGTTACACTGGAGAAAAACCGGTAACAACCTAAATAAACACTAATAGGAAATGGTTGAATATTTTCTAATAGATCAAAATAGTGGAATTTAATGTAGTGATTTTAAAAAAATGTGCTTTCAAAAGCACATTTGTCCATCTGGAATATAACTTCTGATACAGTAGTACAAGAAAACCCACAATACAATATGCTCTTTTCTTTTTTACAACATAAAGTGTGTGTAATATGTGTTTATGTGTATACATAAATAAAAGCTAAAAGAAAACATTAAAATAAAGCCCTTAAAGTGGTCGGGAAAAAAAAAAAGATATTGTGTCCAACTACAACTAAAAAATAAATATCTAATAAATAAATAAATAAATAAATAAATAAAAGAACTTCCTCCCTATAAGAACAGTTTGTAGAAATATACTCCTCATAAAAGCTATGGAAAGTTAAAACCAAAAATTTGCACTCAATGTGTCATCTGTGAGCAGCAAATAAAGACAAACTGATTTGGGGAGCATACCTGATATGGGCTTTAATTTGGCTAATTGTAAAAATGGTATTTACTATCTTATATCCATATTTTCTTGCTATAGAATTTGATATAAGAATATATTTTCTATTATATGTAAAAATAAATACAATGTTCTGGTACAGATCTTTGAAATACAACCATATTTCTGGTTTGCCTTCTTCACTAGAATATAGCCGTAGGGGGACTGGGACTTTATCTCACATTGATTGCTATCTCCCCAGTACTCAAAATACATGGCATAGAGGAAGTACTCAATAAATACCTAACAAATACATTCTATTATCCCTTAAATGTCCCTGAAAAATTTTATGAAGACTTTATATGACACTAACATTCTTATTATTCAATTATTCAAATTAACCAATATCAATATTTGATAAATAAATATTAATCATTACTCTTCAAAAATAATTAACTATTTACTGCTTTCTGATTTTCACATTTAGATTTTTAAAAAGTTGGAGAAGGGGTCAATGAATGGAAAAGTGATAAAAGTGTGCTCAACTCTTGTATATAAGGGCTTCCTTGCTGCACCTCATAACAGGAGGTGCTGCACACTGGTTCCTATAGGCATGCTCTCTGTAACAGGGGTTTGAATTATAAGCACTTACCTCGAGCTCATTCTCATCAAAAATGGCCAACAGGTTCTCAGGTACTAACTCATTCAAGCCTGAAACAAATATGCCAAGTTAAAGCCACACCAAGGATACAGACATTTTAAACTCAAGGCCAACAGGAAATAGGAGCCCACCTTTTAGGAAATGTTCCACCTCCTCTTTCACTTGACTGGCCAGTCGATATTGGGCCAGCAAGTTTAAATAGAAGATTTTATTTGCATTGGTGACTGGGGTTTGAGCTCCACCTGTCATGAGTTCTACAACCTGAAATAGGAAGCAAAAGATAAGGAGAGGCTGTGGATGTTAGATTACAAGGTGCTATGTGCCTGGTATGTTTCACACACATAAAACCCTTGAACTCTATCAGCACCAACTACAAGTTTCCACTGTGCTTTCAGCTTTTTAACACACTTGCTTTCACTTCACATGACTAAGCTTCAAGGCTTCTACTACTGCTGCCATATTCTACCAACTACTATTTCTGAAGTGGGTGTGTGGGTGAGGTCTTCTCTGACCCAGTCAGGTAGTGGTCATGCAACAGGAAGATATTAAGGTTTCTTACTACTAAATTTTAATCTGTCATCCAAAATTAAACCACTACAGACCTCTTCTCAAATAAATCCTTTTATGTCTCAGAAATTTTAAGATGGGGATAGTTGATTCCACAAGTTCTCCAAAGTGAATTAGTGGAAAGTGCCACAGTTTGAACCTTAGAGATCCTGGATTCTAATCCCAGTCCTGATGCTATCTTGCTACATAACTTCAGTCACTTAATTATTTGGACCCCTGTTTTCCTCATATGCAAAGAAAAAGTCAAATAAACTTAGATGATTCTCAAACAGAACTTGTATCCTTCAATAAACAACTCTAAAAGGCACTTAAAGAATCCTTGAGGCACAGTTTAAAATTACCACTCTGGAAAATTTGTATATTGTATATAGCATATACATACACATATATTTTTTATATATATATATATATATATATATATATATTCATAGATAAATGAAAGCCTCAATTTAGTTATAACATCAGATTTTAAGATCCTGATGACATCATGCTGCCTCATATTTTTAAAGATGCTTTTTTAAAAAAATACCTTTATTTTATGTACGTATGAATGTACATACGTAGTACTGAGAAGCAAACCCAGTGCCTCACACACATGCTAGACAAGCGCTCTACTACTAAACCACAACTCCAGCTTGCTATCTCATTTAATGTAAACCTTAAATCTTAACCATTTATTTCTTAGACTACTAGATAGAAGTGCTTATTCACAGAATAGAAATATCACAAAATAACAGAAACTCACACAAAATAATAGAAAAAAATTCTACATTTTCCTAGAAGTAGTATTGCTGCATCATAAGGTATCAGAGTTTAGCTTATTAGATAATTTCAGTTTTTTAAAATGCCTGTGCCAATTTATATTCATATATAAGAGCTCCTGTTGCTTACATTCTCACCAATGCCTGGTATTATCTTTTTCATTGATTGTATAATATATGTAATTTGGTTTTGGTTTTTTAAAATACATATATATTTTTTTAGTTGCAGTTGGACACAATTCCCCTACTTTATTCATTTTTTTAATGTAGTGCTAAGGATTGAACCCAGTGCCTTGCATACGCCAGGGAAGTGCTCTACGACTGAGCCACAACCCCAGCCCCTATAATTTGGTTTTATCTATAATTTTCTGATTACCAGCAAAGTTTAATAAGTTTTTTTTTACATATTTATTTCTATTTGGACATCCTCTTTGAGAATTCATGTTATTTTACCCATTTTAAATGTAGCGTTTGTTCACGTTTTTCTGATTTTTTTAAAGTTTTAAAAATCAGTAAAATATATACTCCCATTTCAATTTTCCATCCTCATCATGATGTTACATTCTAAGAAATCTACCATGAACTGAAAGTTAAAAAAAAGAAAGAAAGAAATTTCTACATTTTTAATCCCTAAGAATCCCTGATGTGTGTGGAGTAACATGCCTTTCCTACCATGCTGTCCCTTGGGCCTGAAGACGTTTTACTGACTCTAGTTTTCTTGTTATGCTGGCTCAGGAAGTCAGGCTCTGATCCCATATGTACAAAGGGTTATGTGTGTACAAAGCGTTACATTCCCACAATATTCAGAAAGGATATCTGACTATCAGTAGAGTGGTACCATTGGTCACAACTTTTTAAAATTATGAATCACTGTAACTTTAGCTTCATCACTTATCATTAAACCCACAATGTAAACAATGGCACATTTTCCTCAAAAATACCTCTGGCCAATAGTTTCCTTGTAAAAACTTTTCACAGAGGTGTTGTGTTAAAATAGGAATCATCTATATCACCACTGGTAAATGCTGATGAAGACAATATCCTTTCCAAATCTGCTTATGCGTGAGTCTTTCATTACCACTTAATTCTTTTTCGACTGGAAAGCAGGAACAAGTGGAATAGATAGGCATATCTGTTTCTTACTCCACTCAAATAGTTGAGATTGGGGCTGGGGATAAGCTCAGAGGTAAAGTGTGTTCTCAGCATGTGTGAGGCCCTGGGGTTCAAACGCCAGTACCCGCCCACTCCCCAAAAAGGGCTGAGAGCATAAACTGTGGGGTGCAATGTTTGAAAGCTGCATCATCTGATGGAAACTGCTAGCCACATAAGAGTTATTTAAATTTAAATTCATTAAAATGAGAAATTCAGTTATGTGGTCACACTAGCCGTGCCGTGGGTATTTAATACACAATACAAATTTAGAACCTTACCATTACTATAGAAAGTTGTATTAGCACTGCTCTAGAGGGAGCTGGGGAACAGGGGACCCACAGGCTTTGGTCCTCTTTCTCACCTTGTCCAATTGACCTGACTTGTTATATTTTTCTTCTGCAAAAACCAGCTCCATTTCACTCATGTCATTGTTGAGGATGAAACAAACTTTTGATTTGTAGAATTCTGGGTCATCTGTTTCAAAGTACTGAGGAGACAGAAAGACACAGCCGAAAATAAACTCACTTTTGCCCAGAAATAAAATTTGTAATTGTTTGAAATCACTTATTCCTTGAACCTTAAAAATAATCAGCCCAGGCAAAGAGATCTCAGAATTTATGGACAGGCAGTCTTAGTAGAAAATGCATACCTAAGATGGTAATTACCTTGTAATGCATGCGTAGTCCTATGATTTGGGCCAGGAAAGAACGGGTAAAACGGGCTCGAACCAACTGCTTGTAGGCACCTCCTAGAGAGGATTCATACAGACACTTGCCCACCAGCCGCCCTGCAAACTCATACATCTTTAGGCGCAGGTGAGGTGGGCGATTAGGATTAGGATGAACCTGTCAAAGAAATAAAGTGAAAGGTCCTGGGCTATTTTTCCCCAAGCCTTGTTCTGGAGAGACCCTCCCTCCCCAACTCCATGTTATAGTTTGGATTTGGAATGTTCCCCAAAGGCCTATATATTAAAGGACTGGTTCCCAGCCTTTGTGCTACTGGGAGGTAGTGGAACCTTTAATGGGGGGGGACAAGTGAAAGGTTTTAAGTCAGTAAGGCATGCACTTGAAGGGTATTGTGGCAAACTGGTCTGTTGCTTATCTTGGTCATGACGTAATTGCTTTTGCCATGCACTGCCACCATGATGTGCTGCCTTAACATAGGTCCAAAAACAATGGGGCCAACAAAACATGGACTAAAACCTACATAACTGTGAGCCAAAATACATACTTTCTATTTACAAGGTGATTTTTTTCAGGTATTTGTTATAGTAACAGGAAGCTGACTAACACACCATGCCAGGGGAGCAAGAATTCCAGTGTAAGGATCAAAGAGCTCAACTAATGATACTGGGCTTTTGGTAGCCACCACTGATTAATTTAAAGTGACTGAAGGATAAAAAATAAGGATGAGGGCTGGGGTTGTGGCTCAGTGGTAGAGCACTTGCCTAGCACATGTAAGGCACTGGGTTTGATTCTCACTCAGCACTATATATAAATGAATAAATAAAATAATGGTCCATTGACAAAAAAAAAAATTTAAAAAATAATAAGGATTTTTACTAAACTAAAGAATCTTGTATTAAGTTTGTGGTCCCTGGCTGAGTATGGAAATTAATCAGAGGGTGATATGATGTCTTTTCACTGAACTAGAACTTCTTCCAGCCAAAATCTACATTTTACTCCTAACACCTCAACCTAGTCAAAAATATAGCCTAGAGGGGCTGGAGATGTGGCTCGAGCGGTGGCGCGCTCTCCTGGCATGCGTGCGGCCCGGGTTCGATCCTCAGCACCACATACAAACAAAGATGTTGTGTCCGCCGAAAACTAAAAAATAAATATTTAAAAAAAAAAAAATTCTCTCTCTCTCAAAAAAAAAAAAAAAAACCCTTTAAGAAAAAAAAATTATATAGCCTAGAAATCAATTGCTTCAGGTATTCTTTTTAAAATATTTTTTTAGTTGTCAATGGGTCTTTATTCTATTTATTTATACGTGGTGCTGAATTGAACTCAGTGCCTTACACATGCTAGGCAAGTGCTCTACCACTGAGCTACAACCCCAGTCCCCACTTCAGGTATGTTTTGAGAAAGTGGCTTAAGTAATATTCAACTGTCTTCATTTTTTCTCATCTTATAAATGAAATAATGAAGGCAACTAGGAGGGAGGCAACCTGATTAGCTCATATTGTAAGTAGCAAAATTAAGAACAGGACACGGGTTGTCAGATTTTCAAAATTTCAAACCCTTGAGTATACATTACATGTTCCACTTTCCACCCACCCAGGGGAAAGTCACAGACTCACTAATGCTTGGTTGTTGTCACTGAAACGGGTGAAGAGCTGATTGGTAGTATCAAACAATGCTTTGCAGATCAGTTCAAACCATTCCCGCCGAGGACCTCCCCAGTCCAGAGCTGAAAAGTATAATGAAAATTAATAAAAAGAGAAGCCTACCTCCCTCCTCTTATCATCTTTGTTCCTTTATTGGTGATTTTATGCTCTCCACATTCCCTCCATTCCATTACTTTACTGTATCTCCACTGCAAGTCACCTAAATGATAGATTTTTTTTTTTTTTTAAATCCCATCGCTTTCTGTAGGATAAAAGTATTCTGGTCACTAAGCTACTGGAAACACAGAAGATCAGAGATCCTAGGAGATGGACATTTTTCCTGTTTCTGCAATGGTTACTTTGCCCTTTTAGTTCAAACTCTTAGAGCTCTTCTTCCAATCCCTATGTTTCTGCTGTACAAGCTCCACCATGCCATCTGGCCAGTGAACATGATCATTTTTTTTTCCCTTGACTCCTGGAAGCTAAGTTGTTTTGTTTGTATGTGTAGGGGGAGTAAGATAAAGCAGGGATTAGGGAGGAGAGTTTCAAAAGATGAAATGAAATCTCAAAACTGACCTTCTTCATCCTGGAAAACCACTTCGAAGTTCTTGCTCCAATCTGAGATGGAGAAATTTCGAGTGGCCTTCAAAGACTGAAAAGCAGTGACAGGAGGGAAACTGTGAGAATACTGGTTGGCAGCCTCAGATGCTAAAAACAAAAACACAAGAGTACTGCCACTGTCCATCAAAGTAACCACTATTATATAGAGGAGATTAGTAGAAATAAGCTTTTGTAACATCGTCTTACATTTAAAATGCACAGATCTCTAGAAGAAATTTAAGGTTTGTTTTTTTTAATAATTATTTTTTAGGTGTAGATGGACACAACACAGTGCCTTTTATTTTTATGTGGTACTGAGGATCGAACCCAGGTCCTGCCTGTGCTAGGCGAGCGCTCTACCACTGAGCCACAATCCCAGCCCCAGAAATTTAAGGTTTTAAAAAATACTTCTTTGTCTTTACACCATCATTTTGTTGGAACTGAAGTTGTTTTTAATAACCTTCATTTTATTTTTATTTTTTTAAAAATGAGGCAAAATATCATTTTCCAAAAGCATCAAGAAGTGAGTATATTTAACCATACTCAGCTCATAACAGAGTAAATGGATGAATAGAATAATTTGTGTTATAGCATGTTTACTGAACTGGCAATAGATAAAGTTGGTCGAAGGAAGACAGAGGAACTTTGCTTTGTAAAAATGGAGGGGGATCATCTGGTATTTGTTCCCTGTCATATCTATGATTAGAAGTATACATGATAGGAATTCCAGGGATCTTCCAGATTCTTCATGTAAGGTCATGTTCAAATGTGGTCATGATGTAACACTTGTGCTGAGTTACTCTTTGTACTAAGTAGTCATCCCCATAGATTCCTTTGTGTGTGCATGGTAATTGTTCAAACCATGCATCCTTAGCCATCCTCAAAGCCACTTGGTAACTTCTGCCCCAATTTCTCAATTTCAGCCATTACACAGTTACATAAGAGATTCACTTGGTAGACAATTCATCATTGACTGCACTAAGTCCAGTTTGGTGTTAATGGAAAAGTTAATAAAGTTGGTAACAACCAGGATGTGATAAGGTGGGCCCAGTTGCATACTGTATTGGAAGAATAAGCAGGAAAGGTGTTGACTTCTCTTTCCTTCAATGCATTGAGAACTTCCTCTTGTTTCTTTTAAGTTTTTAATCTATTCTTTTCTTTAAGCTTCTCATCTCTGAGACTAAGCACTTGCTTCATGATTGCATACTTTCTTGCTTTCTTTCACCTTCCCATGTTTATGCCATACACCCCAACAATTCTGATTTTATTAATGAAAAAACTCTTGCAACAACCAGAGAAATAGAAAGTTGTGCTCCATTTGTGTACAATGAATCAAAATGTATTCTGCTGTCATACATACCTAATTAGAATAAAAACATACATGAATTTTTAAAAAAGAAAAAACTCTTATAGGAAGAAAAAAATGACTCAAATCATTAAGCCATGAGCAAGAGAACCAACGAGTTTCAGTAAAGTACAATCTATTCACTAGATATCTTTATCCACAAGGCAAGGTTCAGGCAGTGAGCCATGCCACATGGAGAGTGTGGCTGAGAAAAGGGGTTTCCAGTCACACCTACCAGAGCCAAACACTACAAACACTTTCTGGACAGGAATTAAGCCTTCTCATTCCCAGGGAATGTTAGATCCATGCCAGTGTCTGCATGGTGGAGACAGACACACGTCAGGTGTTCCTTTTCCATCAGACCAGAGTGACAACAAAAATCACATCCTTGTAATCCAACAAGAACCTATTTTAAGGATTCAATAACAGGAACATCCTCTGTAACCACTTCACCTCCCTGCATAGGAGACTGTTCAGGAACTAGTTTACCTAACAGGCGTGAAAGCCAATGTGTCACCTAGTCTCCCCTTAGTAAAATACCTCCAACAACTGCCCCAAAGTTAGCATAATCAAAGAGAAGAGCAAACAGTTTCTAATAGATATATTTAAGAAAGAGAAATTTAGGCTTCATTAAAAAAAAACCCAAAAACTGCAAGGTATAACCATATTATTAAAGAGGTTTTTAGTTGGAAAACTCTGGCATCTGTTGATGGAGATGAAATTTTACTCACCGATTCCAACAAGGTATGTCTGCTGACCTTCAGAGTGACTTTGGAATGGGGTCTTTTCATGTGTACCTGCCGAAGCTCTCGCTGGAAAAAGTTTACCTTGTCCTGAAAGGTTTCAGAGCCTCCTGAAGAACAGCAAGATCCATGATCAGAGCCTCATGAACAGGTATATGAACTTTATATCCTTGGGACTCAAAGGCAGCTGGCACTGCTACCTTCCCAGTTGAATCTCTATACCAATCTTACCAATGTTCTTATGCAGGGAGCGAATGAAAGTGGCTGCTAGAATGTTCCTTTCCTTACAGCTGAGCTCCACAGGAGGCTGAATACCATCATCCACGACCAGTGTGAGAAGCTTATGAACAGGGTCAGGGCCAAGGTAGGAAAACTAACAAAAAAAAAAAAAAAAAAGTTAATCTATAAAGCCTTCAATCCCAGCAAAATCTTTCCACATTTCTACCCTTCTATACCAACCAAAAAACCAGGTAAACATGCTTTCTCTGAGTGAGCACCAACCAGGAGTACATCTCCTTTTTTTCACCTCAATGTTCTACAATTCAAATCTTATTTAAAATTATTTGAATTGCAGAAATTGCCTTAAGTAAGGATTACAATCAACCCTATAGACCTTCCAACATAAAGTATAAGAAGGGCAAAAGTAGTAAGGATATATAAAATAACAAAAACTGCTACTCCAAACTGCTAGAGGAAAGTGATTTTTATAAAACAACATATACAACAAACCTTTGGATAAAAGTTTATATTCTAAAAGCCCAGAAAAGTAAAAAAAAAAAAAAAAAAGACTTTTAAGAAAATATATGAGAGAATGTTTCTTTTAAAAGAATGAGCTTTAGCATACTGGGAGTTACCAAGGCCTTCTGTATGAATTTAGTCCTAGAGACAAAGGTAACTGGTAAACTATTCCAAATTGCTGCTAATTTCTGTTTCTGTAGGCACGTGTCCTTCTAGAATTTACATATTCTTTGTGCCATTTAATCGAGGAGATAACCCTTTCTTTATTTGGAAATGAATCCCTTGTGTACAGGGAGAACTTCCAAAAACACTGAAAGCCCTAGTGGTGGGGGTGAGGGGAGCGGGGAGGATTGGGAGGTGGCCTGAAACATCCTAAGAGCTGAAGCCTGCTCAGCAAGAACTAGATGTAAGGTCCAACTTACTTTTGTTCCTGGACATACTCGAAAGGTGTACAGGCGCCAGGGAATAATTTTCAGATAGAACTCCTTCACTGAGAATTGCTGGAGAATCAACACACAGAAAACAAAATGAGTGATAAATAAACGGGCCCTATTTGGGTATTTTAATTCAAATATCAAAGTTTCTGTGTTTCTCATGATAACCTGCCTCTTCGATGGACAAAGAGGGTTAACTTAGTACTAAAATAAATAATCAATTCTACCTCTAAAAAAGCAAATTAAACCCAGAGACTCAGGAGACTGAGGCAGAAGGATCACAAATTCCAAGCCAGCCTCAGCAATGGCAAGGCGCTAAGCAACTCAGTGACACCCTGTCTCTAAATAAAATACAAAATACGGCTGGGGATGTGGCTCAATGGTTGAGTACCCCTGAGTTCAATACCTGGTATCCCCCCCCAAAAGGGCAAATTAAAAATATTACAATGACATAAAATTTCACAGAGACAATTTATAACCTTAAAACTCAAGTCTTACAATTCTGAAATAGCTGGGATCAGAGTGGTGAACATTTTACCCAGAAACAATCCGAATCTCCTACTCAGCCCAGTGCTGGTCAGAATGACTTTGTTAAGTCCAGACAGGGCATACCAGTCTTCCAGACCCATTACTTTCCTCCTCCTTGGGTGGCCAAGGATTTGCCAGGGATGGAAAGGCAAGAGGATAGTAATGCATGTGTGTTTTGGGGGCAGCTCACACAAAAAGTTCACCAAAATATTCCATGCAAGGATAAAGAAGGATCTTCCTATGCAATTTGCAATTTACAAAAAAGGAAAAGACAATGTAACATTCTTTAATCTAAAAAAACAAAAAACTTATTATATGAACATGAGGCAGATCAGATTTTTTTCTTGATTTAAAGACATTTTCCAAAGAGAAAACAATATAATGAACCCATAACCAGCTTTAGCAATGATCAATTCAAAGCCAGTCTTATTTCATTCATTCACCTCATCCATTTCCCTCATTACCATCCCTTCTAGTCCAAATAAAGGCTAGATTTTTAAGTGAAGATGGTATACAGCAAGTGCTCTGAAGAACAGAATTTGAACTTAGTTTTGGTTATGAGATTAAACAGATAAAATAGGGTATTTCAACAGAGTCTCATTTTTATGAGAACTTACTAAGAAAATACAAATATTCAAATGAAACACTTATAAAAAGCGTCTCTGAGCTCAGGGGCTTGGGAAGTTCACCTTCTTGTCTCTGCCAAAATTTCTTTATTCCAATCTTGGAGCCTGATGTGACATCCATTTACTGAGGTTTCACAAATCACAGAATAAAAGACCAAATTGTTTCAACATAGTACAAGGGGCCAATAGTGATTTTTATACTGGTGAAAACTTCTTAATGGTTAAAAGTAGCTTTCTTTACAACTCAGAGCCATGTCTTGAAAATTCTCCACTGAAGCAATCAAAAGGCAGCACAGACAGATGCTCACAGTGCCAAGGCACAAAGCCTCTCTAGACAGAGATCTAGGCTAGTTCCAAACAAATATCAATCTACTGCTCCACTTTCAGTAACCTCTCTTAGCAGCATCCCCAAACCCTTCAAGTCAAGTCAATGATCCTGCCCCACCAGCACTCAGACTGGTATTTTGTTGCTAATGTTACTAAATCCCAATTAGAGGCAGGCTCAAGTAGAGGGACTATAATACAAAAATGGGGTGTTCCAACCTTTGGTGACACATAGCAGTACACCTTCTTCGGTTTCTTCACCTTCTCAGGAGTGTGGCACTCTGAGGGTGAGTCTTCATCTTCTTCTTCAACAGCAGTGGAGGGCCGGCGCTGGGAAGAGCTCATGTGCATGGGGGGGAGGTGCCATGGTGTGCTGGTACAGTTGGTAGCATTATAAAGATAAGCCTCAAAGTAAATGCTCACTCCTGACGTGGACACATTGCGTTCAACAATATTCTTCTCATTCTCTGAAGCATAACAAGGATAAGATTTAAAGTAAGAGGGGAGGAAAAAATTGCCTATTTCTAAGCATTTAGTCTATAGCACACTAAGCCAAGTGTGGTTCAAATATCAAATGTTTGTTTGGTGGGACAAGAGTACAGACACACAAAGAAGTGGCAGTGGGGAGGAGGGTAGAGACACCAAATCACAGCTTCCAACTCACCACTTAAGACAATAATATCAAATTCGCCATTATTGATCGGCTGATTTTGGTAAGAAATGCAGGCATGGAAGCAACCACGAGAATGCAGGGTGAGTCGCAAGAAAACCTGGCAAGTCTGCCTGTTCGATGTCACTGACTTCTCAAATGAGACTCCAGTAGTCTCCTCTTCTTCAGGGCCAAGCTATGGGAAAAAAAACAAAATATTACTCAACATGTACCATTTTTCCTATCTGCAAGGCAATTTACTCTTTTTAAATTTTTTATTTGTAGATGGACACAATACCTTTATTTTATTGATTTATTTTTATGTGGTGCTGAGGATTGAACCCAGTGCCTCACATGTGCTAGGCAAGTGTTCTACCACTAAATTACAACCCCAGTCTAAGGCAATTCATTCTTTACAAAGAACATTCCTATCTACCATGTAATCTAAGTCTCATAATTACTAATGAGACAGACAGCTACTCAGATAAAGATATGACAATACACAAGTCCAGAAAAGGAGACAAGAGATTGGAGTCAATCAGAAAAGGTGAGAATGGGGGCTGAGATTGTGGCTCAGTGGTAGAGTACTCGCCTAGCATGCGTGAGGCACTGGGTTCGATCCTCAGCACCATGTAAATGTAAAAATAAAGATATTGTGTCCACCTAAAACTAAAAAATAAATATTAAAAAAAGAAAGAAAGAAAAGGTGAGAATGACAGAAGGAGCCTACTCTTGTCAAAACAGACAGGGGGGAGAAAAGGCCACTTACCTCATGAATGGACAAACTATAATTGTGCTCATCTCTCAGGGATGTAGAATTGTTGGTAGGGTTGTCATACTCATCTCGGGGCACTATTTGAAGGGTGTGTGGCTGCCCACAGGTCAACACAAGTGTAGAAAAATGGCACACAATTTTGGTCTTGGAAGGAACCACCATTCCTGGAACAGATAATAGAGAATTGAACTCAGTGTCTCACATGTGCTAGGCAAGTGTTTCTATCTCTAACATTTAGAGATAGGAAAGATATTCTTTAAGGCACAAAGAACTGCTTAGTGAGTCCCCTCCCAATTCTTAGGGACAATTAAAACACAATGAAGAGGAGGGAAGAGGAAAGAAAATACACTAATTCAAATGAACTTTATGGACTCATTTTTATAAATTCTAACAACTGCCAGAACTAAACAAAATTAAAATGTGGAGAAACAGAACTGAGAGTTAAAAATACAGTACTAGAGTTCCACAGGGAACAGAGGAGATAGGCCTTAAAAATGTGTGAACACATTTTACCAACATGTATTATAAAATAATTGTCTGGATTTGGGCTATAGTGAGAACATACAATGACCAGGATAAAAGATCAAGCTTTCACTAAATTTGTGGAACACTTCAGTGGGAGTTTAGTACTCTCTTAATTTAACATGTAATTGTACAGAGGTTTTAAAGAATAATAAGTGGAAAATGAAAAGTACTAGGAATATCTGATGAATTTGTTTTAAAGGCCAAAGCGAAAAAGTATTTGAAAATTTTGACTATCAAGAGACAAAAAGTTCCACTCAAGATAAAGAAACCGGGGCTGGGGATGTGGCTCAATCGGTAGCGCGCTCTCCTGGCATGCGTGCGGCCCGGGTTCAATTCTCAGCACCACATACAAACAAAGATGTTGTGCCCGCCGAAAACTAAAAAATAAATATTAAAAAAAAAAAAATTCTCTCTCACTATCTCTCTCTCGCTCTCTCTCTCACTCTCTCTTTTAAAAAAAAAAAAGATAAAGAAACCTTTAAAGATAAAGAAGAAAAAATAGGAGAGAGAGAGAATGAAAAAGAAAATTATTTTATTGATACCAACAGCAAGGAAAATGATGAAAGAAGTGCAAAAGAAAACTCTTGTCAAATTAAACTAAATTGGCAAGGTCTCCCCTCTATGCCCTGTGGTTGTTTGCAGCATCAGAACATCAGCATCTGCCCTTGTGATGTTGAGAATATTTGTGGAACACCTCTGATAGTGCAGAGCCATTGAACAAAGCCTGAAAGGCTGACATCAGCTCAGTGGTGATTTGGTCCATAAGAATAAGGCTTTGCCTGTTCTGATTTTTTAAATTGCTACTTATGGTCTGTTTGCAACTAAGATCTTGTATTTTTAAGAAGTGTTTTTGGGGAAAAAAGGTTTGAGAATCACAGCTGTTACAGAATAATTAGCTATAAAAATATACATTATGATATTTGGTGGAGAAAATGGTTTAGTATTTAGAGCAAAGAAAAGTAATGGCCTTTGATGATTTAATTGAATTTTTTTCTAGAAAGCATGAATCAATAAAGATTTTTAATGAATTATAAAAAAGTATTATAAAAGTATTAAATGAAAAATGAATATCAAAAAATGTGTGAGCAATGGCAAAAAAAAATGAAAGGGGCACAAATCTGATAAAACATGGTATAAGACTTACACGTGGAAAACTACAAAATGCTTAAGAGAAAAACAACAAAGATCTTAAATGAAAAATATCATGTTTATTAACTGGAAGATTCAACATTGTAAAGGTGTCAATTTTCCCCAAATTGACATACAGGTTTAACATAATTCTTATTAAAATTCCAACAGAATTATTTATAGATTTAGACAACATTATCCCAAAATTCATATGAAAAGGCAAAGGAAATAGAATAGCCAAAACAATTTTGTAAGAATAAAGTGAGAAGAGCCAGTTTTCCAATTTTAGGACTTGAAATTACTACAGTAATCAAAACTCTGTAATGCTGGTCTGCATACAGTCTGTAGATTGGTATGCAGAATATATAAAGAACTCTCAAAATTCAACATTGAAAAAATCTACTTAGAAAATCAGCAAAAGACAAAAAGAAATATTTCACCAAAGAGAATACACAGATGGCAAATAAGCATATGAAAAGATGTTCAACCTTATTAAACCATTTGGGAAATGTGAATTAAAACCATAATGAAATAGCACATACTTATCAGAATGACTAAAATAAAAAATAGTGACAATATTACATGTTGGCAAGGACACAAAGATGCTGGATTATGCAAATGTTGCTGGTGGCATATAAAATGTGATAGGTCACTCTGGAAAGAGTTGGAAATTTTATTTTTAAAAAACTAAGCATGTGGGGCTGGGATTGTGGCTCAGCAGTAGAGTACTCGCCTGGCATGTGCGAGGGCCTAGGTTTGATTCTCAGCACCACATAAAAATAAATAAATAAATAAAATAGAGATATTGTGTCCAAATACAACTTAAAAAAAAAAAAAAACTAAGCATGTCCATTCATTTTCATACAATTCAACGATTACACTCTAGGGCATTATACCAAAGAAATGAAATCTTATGTTCACACAAAAACCTATACATGAATGTTTTATTCACAACAGTCAAAAGCTGAAAACAATTCAGATGTCCTTCAATGGATAATTAAATATTCATATCATTGAATATTACTCATAAAAATGAACTAACTACTGATATACTCAACAACCTGGCTGCATCTCCAGAATACTATGCTGAGTGAAAATAAAGCCAATCCTAAAAGATTGCATACCTTTTGATTCTATTTATGTAACATTCTTCAAATGACAAAAGTATAGAAATGAATCAGATTAGTGAGTTTCCAAGGGTTAAGACCTGTGGAGGCTGGGGTTGTAGCTCAATGGTAGAGCGCTTGCCTAGCATGTGTGAGGCACTGGATTCAATCCTCAGCACTACATAAAAATAAATGAATAAAATAAAGGCATTGTGTCCATCTACAACTAAAAATAAAAAATTGTAATAACAAAAGAGAAACAGGCCTGTGAGGGAGGGAAAATGGTGTAGCTATAAAAGGGCAACATGAGGGATCCTTGAGTGTGATAAAAACTTTCTGTACCTTGACTGTATCAATATTAAAAACCTGGTTGTGATATTGTACTATATCACACCATGCTATAGTTTTGAAAGATGTTACTGGGCTGAGGTTGTAGCTCAGTTGTAGAGCATTTGCCTAGCAGGTATGAGGCCCTGGGTTCGATCCTCAACACCACATAAAATTAATAATTAAAAACAAAGGTGTTGTGACTCACCTACAACTTAAAAAAAAAAATGTTACATTAGGTAAAGGATATACCAGATTTCTATTATTTCTTGTAATTGCATGTGAATATACAATTATCTCAAAAAATGTTAATTAAAACCAAGTTAGTACATATCATAACAATTGAAATTATTCTCCACTGGAGGCAAGAAGGTGAGGTGCTAATTCATGTGGAAAGGAGTCTCCAGAGTGAGGCATTCAAGGGAAGCAAATAGAGGGATGGCTTGGGAGCTACTTTGTTCTGAGCAGCCTTCTATTGCAGAAGATAGCAAGATGAGAACCAGTCAAGAAAAGATACACCAATCTTCTTAAGGTTTGACTCCCAAAGTTAGCCATGGTCCTAACATTTCTGTGGATACCATACTAACCATTATCTAATGAAGCTTCTTGAAAGAAGATAGGCGTACAAGGAAGAAGACAGGGTACAAGGCAGAAGACAGGCGTACAAGAACCCCGCCCCCCACCGCCCCAAATACACTAAACATGTATGTTGCAAACCAAGAGTCAAGAGATTATACTGATGGACCTCAATGTCAGTCAGCATCTGTTATCTGGCATAAAGGACACAAGAGGAAAAAAGGGTAGAGATAAAGCCTCCATTCCTAGATACCAGAAGCATGAGCAGAAACTCTTTAGGGAGAAGTAAAGCATACTGGCAGCAAGGGTGGGATTCGTATCAAGACGCTTTAACTTGAAAAGGTTTCAAAAAATCAGAAGAATTTATTTTCTACATATTCTGGTGCCCTTAGCCCTTTTGAACTTGCTAGGCTTAAGACTCAGCAATTCTACTCCTTGAGAAATTTAAAAAAAAATAAATTATATCTACACAAAATTTCACAAGAGCTTTAGTCAAGAAGTGGAAAAAAACTCAAATGCCCACCACCTTACCAATAGATAAATAAAATGTGGTATATCCATATATTGGATTACTTGGCAACAAAATTAACAAAGAATTAATTCACACTACGACATGGGTAGGTCTTAGAAGTATTACATTGTTAAATAATCTAGTCACAAATGGCCATGTATCTTATGATTACATTCATGTCCAGATTAGATAACACTACAGAAGCAATAGATAAGTGGTTTAGAAATTTAGGATTGGGGATTTGGTGACAAAGTGACTGATAATGAGTCTTTTGGGGATATTGAAAATGCTTTAAAATTGACTATGGTGATAATTGCATAACTGTGTACATTAAATTGTATATGTATTATTATTATTAATAGTTTTTTTGTTTTTGTTTTTGTAGTACTGGGGATTGAACCCAGGGAGTGCTTTATTATTGACCTATATCCCCAGCCCTTTTATGTTTTTCATTTTGAGGCAGGGGCTCACTAAGTTGCCCGGGCTGGCCTCCAACCTGTGATCCTCATGCCTCAGCATCCCAACTTGCTGGGATTACAGGCATGTACCATCATGCCTGTTTAAACTCTCCACTTTAAATAGATGCATTTTATGGCATGTGAATTAAATCTAGGGGTAAAGGGTTAAAGCTCAGTGGCAAACTATATGCTTGGTAACCACAAGGCCCTAGGTTCAATCCCTCAAATCTCACTAAAAAACCAACACACCAAAAAAGGAATGGAAGGAGAAAAAAACAACAAAGAACATACCAGGCTGAAAAATTTTGTAGTAGGGACTATAGGCCACATTTAATCCACCAAGCTTCACTGTAATTTCATAACGCCCAGCCCTGCGTACAGTGAAGGCCACCTTTACCACATTTGAATTGGGCTCCTGAAGGACTTCCTGGGTCACTGGAATTTCCACTGCTAGCTCAACATGAGAGATGTGAACTCTCAGTCCCACAGGCCGATGTGCAGGGAAAGGCTGCCCGTTCTTATAAAATAACTGTAGAGGAGAGGAGAGGGGCACCTGTTAGTGAGCCGAGGAGAAAAACATTTTTGGTGTAATAAGAGAGTGGGGAAAGAGGAAGTAGCCGGCCAAGGTCATACTGATAAACCCCCGTGCCTACCTGCTTCTTACAGTTCTGCTCACAGAAACAGAGACAAATTCCCTCGGCACACCAAAGAAAATCAATAAGTCATGAACATATTCTTCACCTGTTCAGAGGACAGGGGTAGAATACACCACTGAATCAAGAACATACCAATTTTGACTTGACATTTATGAACCACAAATGCTGCCTTCTTAGTCTTTCCAGACCTTTCTATAATATTACCAATACTAATCAAAAATGGAAGGCAGTAGACTGGCAGCACTGGCACTGAATAAAGGAAAGAATCAGGCAAGGGTAGGAGAGGTTCCAGCTCTCTTGCCTGTTTTTATGCTACACAATAGAGAAGTCACCGAGGGCACTGGCAAACTTCTCTGTAAAGTGCCAGAGGGTAAATATTCTTGGCTTTGTGGGTCATGCACAAAGCTACTGAACTGTCCTAAGGACTCAAGTAAGAAAGAAGACACACTGACCAATAACAATGCATTTACAGAAACAGAAGGCCCTTAGGCTGTGGTTTGCCAACTCCTAATCTTCAATACCTAAGTTTCTCAATACAATTTTTTGAAAAGGTAACATTAAGTTTTAAACTTTTTCAAAGCTAAGCACCTAGCAAACCAAAAGCGTACAGAAATTCACCACTCTTTGTATATTAAGAGTTCTCAAGTTCCTAGGAGGAGATGAGAAACAAGGGAAAATGTTAACATTCCAGCCAGCAGCATCATTGGACTGAATTGGTCTCTGGAAAGCAAGTGACTCAGAAAACCCAATGGGGATGGAGACAGAAACATTCCCTTACATGCACTCGGAAGGCCATGCTGTGGCCCACCTCATAGGGGTCCTTCCAATCCCAGGAGACTTTGCAGGACCGGGGATCCAGATAATTTCCCCGCACGTAGTCATAAATAGTCCGGTCCCCTCGGCGCTCACGGTCTTCATTTTGAAGAAAGCTGACTACTCGTGCGGCAAGCTCAAAGAGGAACTTAATTGTGAAGAAGAATGCAACCACAGACACTGTGATTCCACCTATATAAAGGAGAGAACACACAAACCAGCTGCTGGTTACACATTACAGCTTCTCATCACAGAACAGGCTAGCCATCTCACAAAACTTAAAAGAGAGTCAGGATGAGACTGTAAGATGAAGAAGAAACACTGTATAGGGTTGCCACCTCCTCTGTGGGTGAAGTGAGGAACTTCTCAGCTAGACCAGGGGTCAGCAACTACAGCCCTCAGGCCACAAATTCCACCTACTATCTGTTTCTATAAATGAAGTTCAACTGGGAACCAGTCACACCCATTTGGGTACAAACTGTCTACATCTGCTTCTGTATCACACTGGCAGAACTTAGCAGTTGCAAGGAGAATATAGAGCCTTCAAAACTGGAATATTTACTCTCTGGCTTTTCATAGAAAAAAAGTTCACCAACACTGTTCCATAGCATAAATTACACATCATTCTCCTCCAGCCCCACTTTCCTGGATGTGCTGGGCCCTTACAAAAGTAGTAAAAAGAATATGCACTCAGGTCTCTCCATTTGGAAGCCTTTCCCTCCCTTGTCCACTAGGCACAGGCATTCTCCAAGCCCCAATAGAGTTAAGAGTTCCCTCTTCTTGGCTCCCTCAAACTCCCATATTTGTTATAACTTATGTCCTCCTTGATCATCTTCCTTTTCATGTTATGAACTCCTTAAAAGCAGATTTTTGCCTGATTTGACATTGAATCCACAGTAAACAGTGTCTGGCACAGACTGTAATTGCTCAATAAGTATTTCCCAAGTGAATGAATTCCTCTGCCAAACCTGTGAAGGTACATTTTGGCATGAGTGGAAATATTTCTAGCTCTGTTTTCAAGAGAGAAAGGAATAGTCAGGGAAACAAAAAGCAACTTGGTAACAATAAAAATTTAAAAAAAGATAATTAAGAAAGCTCTTTCTATAACATACCAATAACGTAAAACATCAGGTCCCTTCAGTGCCAACAGACAGCCAAGGATCACAGCTGCAGCTGCGAAAGAAAACTTGTTAGTTTTGTTTTTGGTACTGGGGATTGAACTCAGGGTCACTCAACCACTGAGCCACATCCTGAGCCCTATATTATATTTTACTTAGAGACAAGGTCTCATTGAGTTGCTTAGTGCCCATTACTGAGGCTGGCTTTGACCTCACGATCCTCCTGTCTCAGCTTCCCAAGCCACTGGGATTATAGGCAGGTGTCACTGTGCCCAGCAAACTTATTAGTTTTTTCTCCAACTTTCCCTTATAGCCATCTTAGAGGGAAACAAATTACAGAACACGGCTCTCTAGTCTAGAGAGTCAATACCTTTTTGCCCTCTCTAGTTTGACAGGCACTTTACAACATATTTCACACATTTAAAGAGAATGCATCACTCCTCCCAAAGTCTTCCAATCTGTTGACCACCCTAAGAACACCACAAACAGTCACTTACTTTAATTACAAAATGTAGTAACAGGGCTTTCATCTTCTTAGATCCTGGGCTCCCAAGACAGTTTCCCTCCCCCAAGCAAAATAGTTCTAATTAACACAAACAAAAAGGACAATGAAAGCATTTCCCCCTTTACAGTATTTGCCTTCTGGAAGTAATTCAGCTAAGTAGAAACAGTTATATAAAATATAGATTTTTAAAAAGTTAAGTATTATTACCATGTTGGCATTATGTAATTAAAACGAATTGTGGATCATCCCAATAATAAGCAGTGAGTATGTAAAAGAAGTCATTTGTGCCTTTACCAAATCAAACTACTAGCCCTCTGGAAAATGAGTTCAGCAGAGGGGAACAAAAGGAAGAAACTGTACTTCTCATCCTAAGTGATGCCTGCCAAGATCAGGGTTTGAGGGGAAACTTTTACTGTTATTAAACTTGTTGCCAGAACAAAACTCAATCTTTGTTATTCATTGGATCATTTGAATCACCAAGGGCACCACCAAGAAAAAATGCAATGTGTGCTCAACTTCCCTATCACTTCACTGAGTATAACCTTGTGTGAGCTGCAGATGCTCTCCAGCCCATACTCAATTCTCTTTGTTTCTAAGGCAATATATGTTGAGGTTATCAATATCCAGCACTTTTGTCAGCACTAGAATATTACTTGGGACAAAACGGCTAAAACTTTCTAGGCTCCAGAGCTAAGAAGAACCTAAACAACGTAAAAAAAAAAAAAAAAAAAAAAAAAAAACCCACAGGGTGCACTTTTATGTCTCATTGTGCTCAAAAAATTTGAACGAGACAGAATATGGTTCTTTGGTTCCTATGATAATAGTATTCTCAACAGAACCCACATATAGTAGGTAATGTGAGGAATAACCATGTCAAGTTCCATAGAAATTCCTATTTAGACTGGTATCTGAAGTCCTACTTGAAAAAAAAAATACATGAAAAATTAGAAATGTCAACATACAAGGATAAAGAAGCTCCCTATTATTAAGATAATATATAGACCTGAAATTTAGGATCATAACTTCTGAGCCTCTCTCCCAACAAATATCACATCTTCTGGGACCTTATGCTGAAAAGCTGTCATTATCTCTCAAAAAGCATCTTTCTGAACCTCACAGGATGTGCTAGATAACCCAGCAGGACCAAACCTAGCAGTTTAACTGCCTTAAGTGCTTTCTCAGCTGGATGCTATCCAATGTAATATTGGATGTGAAAACTTCCAGTTCTCAGAAAAGCTACAGCATTCAACAGAAAATGAAGTACATGTGGCTGATGGCACAGGCTTGTGGTATCAAGCCTCTTGCTCCTTTGGGGGGAACTAGTGCTGAATTTATGGCTTGAGTCACAATGGCTAGAAAAATTCAGATCTATGATCTCTGACTTCTACAACAACCTTTCCTATGAGAGGCAGCTCATAAGCAGTAAGTCAAAAGCCTGAGGACTAGTTCCAGGGCTACAACTAACTGTAGACCTGTCTAGGCTTCAGAATTTTCACTACTGTAAGAGTGAAAGATTTAATCATTTCCGTGGTACCATCTTCTTTAATATGACTTCAACATAAGTCCCAAAGCAATCACAGCTCTCAAATCAAATAGTATAATATAGAAGATGAGAGCAAAGACTCTACAGTTAAGATTATCTGGGTTCAAGCCCATACACTACCATTCACAAAGTGAACCAGAACAAATCATCTAATCTCTCTACAGAATGCCAGTTTCCTATCTGTCAAGTAGGATTAATACCTACATATGGGTGCCATGAGATAACACATTAACAGCTCAGAATTAAGTCTGGCACACAGTATTTTTTCAAGATTTTAGTGATCATTACAATTATTCTCTACAGAAGTACCACTATCACTACTCCTTTGCTTCAGAGTTGAAGAAATCAAGGGAAATTCTCTACTGGCCCACACTTTCTTCAGTGACAAATGCATCACTTACAAAAGACATGGCTTCTCTTACTGTACCTAAAATCTCCACCTGTACAGGAGAGCTTCATTCTATTCTAATTTGATGTCTAAAAATGTTCTAAGAAGTTAAAATCTCATCCTAAAATACTTCATCCAACAAATACTGAGTAACTTACTTAATGTACAAGATACTGGGGGAATGGCATATAACACAATAGCCAAAGTCCCAGGCCCCATGAAGTTGGCAGTAATAAATTTTACCATGTTGAATCCTTGGCCATTTCTCCCCATTCCCTTATTTCTCAACCAAATCATCATTACTGATTTTCTAGAATCCCTAGATCTTTTCCAGTAAGTCGATTCTACATTTCTACCCTAAATTCCCTTTATCATTTAAAACTCAGCATACCAATCACAACTTTTTTCCAAATCACTCTCCTCTCTTCTTAAAATCTCCTTATGGTTAAGGAGTAAGCTGTCAATTTCTCACTCACTGATTTGACTTTTGCAAAATATAGCACTGCTCACAGTTCAAATACCTCCCCAATAATATTTGCCTATCTCCAAGTTTTCCCCAGAGTTACATTCTGAACTTGCCTTCCTTCTACATTTTTCCCCTTTCTGGCTCTTCTTGAATATTGTTTCATAGCCTGTTTTTGTCATTCCAATTATTTTTATTTCAGTCTTCACCTGTATTCCATAACATTTTTTATCCTTTTACTGATTCTGTAGGGAGTTCTCCCTTCCCTGCCTCTTGCTATCCCAACCCTGCACTATTCTCCTTGGCCACATCTCCTCCTAATTATTCATTATTATCCTTCATTTTTCATTCTATGATCCACCTAAATTAGATCTTTTATACTTTCAAATACATGCCCTGAAATGTTCCATCTCCATGCCTTTTTAAATATATTTTTAGTTGTTGATGAATCTTTATTTATTTATTCTTTGTTTAATCTTTATGTTATTTATTTACATGTGGTGCTGAGAATCAAACCCAGTGCCTCACACATGCCAGGCAAGAGCTCTACCACTAAGCCATAGCCACAGCCCTCTCCGTGCCTTTTTAAAAGTCTGCCCGGAAACACCTCCCTGCTTTCTTTTTTTTTTTTTTTTTAAAAGAGAGAGAGAATTTTAATATTTATTTTTTAGTTTTTCAGCGGACACAACATCTTTGTTTGTATGTGGTGCTGAGCATCGAACCCGGGCCACACGCATGCCAGGCGAGCGCACTACCGCTTGAGCCACATCCCCAGCCCAACACCTCCCTGCTTTCAATCTCTATCTACAAGATACCTCCTGATGCTAAATCTATGGAAAATCCTATCCTCATTCCCTGAAACTTCCCTAATCCCCAACTTAAAAATTCCTTCACATGTTCTAAGAAGTTAAAATCTTAGAAATTTTGAATTTCCATTCAATTTTGATTTTATCTATCTTATCGTTCTTATATTCTAACTTTCAGTCTCTTGTCTATTTTTTCATTTCAGAGAGGTAAATAACATAAGGGAAAGACTAGTCTTAAATCCCTCCAAAGCAATAAAAAAAATCCTCCAAAGTATTTAACATAATTACATTTAATAATTGCAATAAATATGAACAAAATATCTGCTGAATGAATAAGGCCAAATATCTATTCTTTCTTTTGTTCAGAATGCCTAAGGATCAGAAATTTCACTGATAGAAAACAGTATATTTTTGAAAACAGTTTGTTTTTTGCAGTATTGGGGATTGAACTTAGGGTTCATGCATTGCTAGGCAATTGCTCTACCACGAAGCTACACCCTCAGCCCTACATATAAGTTTAAAAAACTTATTTAATTAGCAGTATATTCACTTGAGCCAGTATATTCATTTAAGTTCTTCAGACCAAAAATTGCCAATTTAATTCAGATTAACCAGTATGTATCAAATATCTATCAGTAAGAACAGGAATTCTCATGTATTTTTCTACAGTACCCTCAACTTTCTGCTGCTCATACTTCTCCTGCATAAAATTACATTGGAATTCTTCCAATGTCTAGTACAGGCACAAAGAGGAATACTAAACCTCTACCATACTATTTCAAACAATTTTCTTATTTTAATATTTTGTTTTCAAATTCATCTCTATGGTGGTCATGCCCTTATAAAACGTGGCAAACTGTAAATACTCTTAAGCTAGCAGAATAACAGCAGTAGTAATAAACTAATAATTTTCCATCCCTTTATTAAGCATTTACCACAGGTAAACACCACCCAAAGTGCTTTACAATGTTAGTCTAAGTTCTATAATTATCACCACGACAGTCTGGCAAGATAAGATAACAGGGGAAAAAAAGACTGGGCTTAGAAAAATTAACTTGTTGAACATCTCAAAACTGGTCAAGTGACACAGCTGAGAATAGAACCTGTCTGAGGCCCCAAAGTGCTCAACCTCATACAATGATGAATTATGAAAAAGAATGAATTCAAAGGCATAGCCAAGTACTTCAAAAGATTTAAGAAAACAAATAAAATATAAAAAGTTACCCAATCTATCTGCTAGAATTTCACTGTGAGGCTAAAATTAGAAGGATAAATTCTTAAGGCTCTTTTAGTTATCTTTTGAAATAAAAATAAAGCATGACAGTGAAAGGTGGAATGCAGTACCAATTATCTAGTGCAGAGAATACTTGCTCCCTGGAGGATTCCAGGCAACTTGCTTCATACTACAGACCTTTGACTCTCACGTTCCCTACAAAATGGAGAGGGAAATACTTGAAATTACCTGTATCAAAGGAATGTTAAAGTTGATTGACACGAATATTCTAAAACCCTTTTCTTCTTTTGTAGTTAAAAGATTTATAATTACAGTATCAAATAAATGTTAACCGCAACATTGAAGATCAGTTGTGAAAATCACTTCCCCAAAATGGAGAATTTGTTTCTTCATATTCAAAACTGCTCTGTCAGGGAAAAAGTCAATTCTCACTATAATCTGTGCTTCAACAGCTATCTCTTACCAAGGAGACTCAGGACCTGGTCACTGGGTCCACGTTCTGCACCCCACTAACTGAATCTTAATTCAGCCTATTACCTTACCTTTAAACGAGGGCCCATGTTCTGAGAACCAAGTTATTCACAAAAGCAAATAACTTCTGGCTCCTTTCACTTTGTCTTCCAACTTCCACATGAAGAAAAAAGCCACAAAGTCACTGGAGAGGGTCTATCCATCAGACCTTCACTTAGCGTGTGTCACAGTAAGTAGAGAGTTGATGTTTTTGTAACGAACTGGATGAATTCCAAGGTAGAGAAATATAGCCCAAGAATATATCATTCCTGGACTTCTCTAGCGCAGGGCACAGTCAACTGCTAAAGGATGCATCTGTTCTGGTGTCCCAGGATCCTACCCTATAAAGAAAAAAGGGAAGTGTAATAGGTTTTTCTTTCTGAAAGAGATCCCCCCACCCAAAAAAAAAAAAAACAGAGATAGAACAGACAGACAGTGGGAACTCTGGTACACTAAAAGTAACCAAGGTTTGGTAAATCCTGACCAAGCATCCTCAATTGAAACTCCACTCAAACTTCATAAAAAGAGTTGACTGGCAACCTCACTGCCTGTAACTATGTCACAGCCCAGAAGGAAGCTCCAGCACTTTAGTTGACCCAGACCTTCAGCAAAGGCAAACTAGGGCACAGATTTAAAGAGGGAGACTCAATACAACTTCAGGCCCAGTTTCAGTTTAATGGGGTTGGAGCCTGGAACCCAAGTGAAGAGAAATGAGACAAAAGCACCAGAAAAGCTAGATTACAGAGGTTCATACATACCATGAAAAGACTCAAATCAACATTCTGCTGGGAAAGAGAAAACTAAACTACCAGCCTGTCCAGTCTATTTCACTTGTGCTAATGTATTCATTTCTAAGACATGATTAAACAAGGCTAATGTTATCTTTAAAACAGCAAAATATACTATTAGAAGTTGGGGGCAGGGGAAAATCTGCGAATTTCCAAAATAAAGTTACTAAGTCCAATAAAGTCAGTTTGAACCCACAAAGATACTCATGACCGAATGTTGCAGAAAGGAGGTTTATTATGGCAATGCATATACAAAGAGCCAACATAAAACAAATGAGAAGACACTACTAAACATTTAATGGAAAGAAAAACAGTCTTACTATATGACAGGAACTGTTCTTAGTGCTTCATGACTCATAACCCTAGGACATAAACACAATTTTCTTAACTTTATAAAGTAGGTTTAAAGTGGATGAGGTACTTTCTCAAGATTATACACAAAAAGTAGTGTAGAGTTAAACTCAGACAGCCAGAAATCCATGCTTTTAATGATTACTCTCCTGTCTCTCTGTTTTGGGAAACCAAAGAAGAAAACACAAAATGCTAACTAGAACAGAACAGAATGAATGAAGGCCCACAGATCAAAAAAGTTGGCAAACTTTTATAATTAAAAATAGAATATTGGGCTGGGGATGTGGCTCAAGCGGTAGCGCGCTCGCCTGGCATGCGTGCGGCCCGGGTTCGATCCTCAGCACCACATACAAACAAAGATGCTGTGTCTGCCAAAAACTAAAAAATAAATATTAAAAAAAAAAGAAAATTCTCTCTTAAAAAATAAATAAATACATACATATTTTTTAAAAAATAGAATATGCATATATTTTAATAAGGCTTGCCAGGTACATAGCCAAAACATGGATCAACTAGCAACTGGAACCAGCTTAAAAGATTCACAAACAAAAGAGCAGTTATGTATACCACAAGAGATCTCTATGACGGAATGTTACATAAAGATTTTAAAATGATACTTTGAAAATCCTCATGAATAAAATGTTCACAAATAAAGTGAAAAGGCAGGCATGAAATTGTTCACATTATAGCACAAGCCCAATTTTAGAATCATAATATTATTTAAATAAAACAGAGAAAAACATGAAAATGTTCATAGAGGTCATCTCTTTACAGAATTAGAATTTTTATCTTCTATCTATGCCTTTCAATGTTTTCAAATTCTTTTTTGTTATTATTGTCGGTACTGGAGATTGAACCCAGGAATGCTTTACCACTGAGCTGCATTCCTAGCCCCCCACCCAAATTTTTTTCTTTTGAGACAAGGACTTCCTAAGTTTCCCAGGCTGGCCTGAAACTTAAGATTCTCCTGCCTCAGTCATGCACCACTGCCCCCAGCTTCCAACAAATTTTTTTTTCTTAGTTGTCAATGGACCTTTATTTTTATTTATTTGTATGTGGTGCTGAGAATTGAACCCAGTACCTCACGCATTCTAGGCAAGCACTCTACCACTGAGCCACAATCCCAGCCTTTCCAAATTTTAATGATGCAAAAACATGAAAAAATTCTTAACAAATATAATTTTATATTGAATATATAATATTTAATTATATTATATTTAATATATAATTCATATTCTTGAGAAATATAATTTTAGGGACCTATTTTCCTAAAAAAGAGAGACAACAGACAAATTGCTTTTTTTTCAAATAGAGAAATAGTAAAAAGAAATGAAGATAAAGTGTACTGAACTTTTGTCTTTATAGGGTTTCCAACTCTGTGACCAGCTACTTGATTAAGCCAAGTAACTCTTAGTTCTAACATCCTTTACTGACTGTCCCCACCATGAACTACCATGCTTATCAATGCTGCAGTGTCTCTAGTGAGCTTCAAAACTCAACTCAAGCACTGCCCAACCCCCATCCCTCTGGCATTTCTCTAAAGATTCTACCCATGCCAGGCAAAAATCAATCACTTCCTCCTTTGTGATACTCCAAAGATGAAGATACCTCTATGACCGCATTTATTAGTCTGCTTTATAATTATCTGTTATATGGCAGTCTCTCCTAATAGACTATAGCTCCCTGAGGATGCTGGCTCTTAATCCTTTGCCGTCCATAGCTAGTATGGTATGTGGCCCTTCTATCTCAGGGACTATACTCTCACAAAGAACCCAGCTAATTCCTGTTAAGTTTCAGAAGCATGGCCTACACTCTAGAGCAGTCAGCCTGAAAGGGGGCCCAATACTTCCCATCTCTACAGGCTCACAGGTCTTACGGACTACACTTTCAGGAAAAAGAATCAAATGCAGGAGCCAGCAAACTATAGATGGCAGGCCAAATCCACCTGTTTTCATAAAAAACAGAATGAAAAGATCCAAGTTCATTCATTTACATGTTGCCTATGACTGCTTTTACACTACTATAGCAGAACTGAGTAGTTGCAGCAGAGATGTATGGTCCACAAAACTTTATTATAGAACCCTTTGTGGGAAAAGGATACCAATCCCTGGTGTAGGTCTTAGTCCTGAAGCAATGTACTTACATTTTGTAAATGTGAACATTTCTACCAAACCAAAGCATAAAAATCATTTTCTTCTCATTCTACTATCCCTTCTTAGGAAAACAGCTATAATACTCACAGAATTATGCTAATCTTTCTAATTTCAACTTTAATTTAAGTTTCAGGTCGACATTCATAGCCCATTTAGGGATTTTACACAACCATTTCCCAAAGAATGTGTTTCATACAATAAACCTCAGGGATCAAATACTGTATCTTGGTTCCTAAAATTATTACAGTACATATTAATGACACTTTAAAGTGCTATTCTAAAAAGCTAAGGAAAAAACTGGCATGAATAGTCCACTTCAGAATTCTGGTACATATAGAGCTAAGTGGCAGCACATATGAGTTTAGTAATCACCTACTGATTTCCACAAAACAAGACAGGACAAAAGAAAGAAACCGCCTTCCAAGATGTAGTCTCCAGCATTCTGTGCTCAGACCACCAGCCATGAGTCCAGGAACATCAAATTAAAAAAAAAAAAAAAAATCACTCAATTAGTAAGAGGTTCACAGGTTTAGAGTGGTCTAATTATGAAGGTTCCAAGAAATAGTGTACCATCAGACACTTTGAATTATTAGTTTATAATTTCATTGGCTTGATATCACCCTTGGCTTATTCTCCCCACCCCAAAATACCACTATAAAAGACTATCCGCCCACATCAAGTTTATACTCTTGAGATATTTATACAGTTGTATATTTCTGCTGTCTTGGTTCAGCCAAGTTATAAGGTTTTCATTTATATTCTTTCATCAGTCAGCCCGTCTAGTCTCTTGATCATTCCTGCAGGTCTTCTGTGAACTCTCTCCAGCTGGTCCCCAGCACTCTGGTAATGAGGTGCCTCCAACTGACTGCAGCCTTCCAGGAACAGCTGAGTTAGAACAAGATGAGCTCACCCTCCTCAGTTCCATGACATAATACTCCTGAGTAGGCAATCCCCCAAATCACAGCAAGTGAGTATGCTGCCATATTAGACTAAAACCCCATTCCATGCCTCACAGATTTGGGTATCAGCAAATGCCAGAATGTGCTAGAAGTCAGAGAATAAATGTCATATGTTCCTGAAGCATCTATTACACCAGAGGATAAAAAGAGAATGGAGGAAAAAAGTATATTCGTGTTAAAATAAACACACAAAATAGAATGCAAAAATTCATGGCTTTCTAAAGATAAAAACATAGATATGCTCAAAATACTCATGGATATTTTGTACTTAAGCCAAAAGGCTCTTGGTTGCTCTGCCAAGTTGTAAAGCCCCCAAGGGGTTATATACCTACTACCCTGTACCACAAGAGGTGCTTGAGTCAAAAAATCTGAAACACTTAACTTCTGGTCTACTGCCCATTGGCACCTATCCCATACACTTTTTTTTTTTTTCACTTTTTTCTTTGAATAGACAGAATGCCTTTATTTTTTATTTGTTATATGGTTCTGAGGATCAAACCCAGTGCCTCACACATACTAGGCAAGCACTCCACCACTGAGCCATGCCCCAGCCTGCCATACACTTACATTTTAAATGAGATTACTATTACTATGCTATGTTTCCCCATCTCTAGGTATCTACATTTATTTTCTCTTTGACTAAAATAATTTGCCAAATCTATATGATTTCACCTTGTAATTTACTGACAACTATTTTTAGGTTCTGCATCATTTATTCTTAATTGATTTCACATTTCTTGAGCATATGCTGTATGCCAGGCTGTATGCTAAAAACTAAGTAGAAGGATAAATGAGACTACATTCTTAACCTGTGCACCTGGTTCAACATGGGAGACAGATGACACAATGTGGCAAATGCCACCAAACAGTATGAATAAACAAATGTGGAGGGCAGGGGAAGAAGAGGTAACAGAGTTGAGAAGTCTTCATAATAGGGTAAATAAAGCAGATTTCTTAAAAATGAATAAGCATTTGCAAAAGCAGGAAGAAAAAAAGGCTAATATCCTAGGCATAGGCAGAATACCAAAGTAAAAAAAAAAAAAAAAAAAAAAGGGAGGTGGTGAAAAGCTCAGCATTATGAACCAGGGTGAATAATTCTAAGTCCAGTTCTACATTGGTGGTTAAGAGAATAAATTTTACTGAGTGATCCTGGACAAGTTACTTCCCTCCTCTTCCAGTTGCATCACATGTAAAATGGAGTGGCACTGAGAAAGGAAAGGATTCCAGCTGCTCTTGAGTAGCAAGACTTAAAGGAAATAAAGGGAAGACTGGTTGAGAATTCAAACTCCAGACCCAGGTGACTTGGTTTTACAGGAGTGCCTTGGGGGATATTGCTCTATGCTGAGTTGCCAGGTTACGATGATGGTTTGTGTCAGGCCACAGCAGCTCAACCCATAGTAAGTGAGGAAGATGGCTTGAGTTTTACCCAAGGGACTATCCAGCTTTCCAGAGATCCCATGTGAAAACCTAGCAACAATCTAAAATACTGAACTTTCAGGGTTTCTCTCAAGTATGACAATGATAATAACTCACATTTACCAAGAACATACTCTGGAGCTAGGGTTGTAGCTCAGTGATAAAGTGCTTGCCTAGCATGGGTGAGGCCCTGAGTTCCATTCTCAGCACCACATAAAAACAAATAAATAAAGGCTAAATTCTTTAAAAAGAAAGAAAGAACATATTCTGTGCCAGGTACTGTATAAAGTGCATTATTTATATTATCTCCTTTAACCTCACATCAACAATATGAGATAAGCATATTATTATCCACTGAGAATAATCTACAAGATTAGGAAACAGAGGCACAGAGAACTAAAATAACTTGCCAATAAGTCATCCAGTTGATAATTGAAAGAGCCAGGCAATCTAATTCCAGAACCTATACTTTTTTTTTTTTTTTTTAGAGAAAGAGAGAGAGAGAGAGAGAGAATTTTAATATTTATTTTTTAGTTATTGGCAGACACAACATCTTTGTTTGTATGTGGTGCTGAGGATCGAACCCGGGCTGCACGCATGCCAGGCGAGCGTGCTACCGCTTGAGCCACATCCCCAGCCCCAGAACCTACACTCTTAACCAGTAATACTGATGTATCAAAAAGAGTCCCTGGGTTGGGGTTGTGGCTCAGCGGTAGAGGTAGAGCACTCACCTAGCATGTGCAAGGCCCTGGGTTTGAGCCTCAGCACCACATAAAAATAAGTAAAGGTATTGTGTCCAACAACAACTAATAAAATAAAATAAATATTAAAAAAGAGTCCCAAGGGTTGGGGTTTTGGCTCAGTGGTAGAGCACTTGCCTGGCATGTGTGAGACACTGGGTTTGATCCTCAGCACCATATAAAAATAAATAAATAAAATAAAGGTACTGTGTCCATCTATAACTAAAGACATACACACACACACACACACACACACACACACACTCCACCAAGAAGGGCAGGGAAGTATATTCAGGATAGGAAGAATGAGAGCTCAGAAATATTTAATTTGAAAACATAAAAAAATATGACTTTTAGACATTAAGCAACAAGAAAACATAAAAGAGATTTTTTTTTTTTAAACCAAGGGAGAAAGAGGATCACATATCATAAAAGATGTAAAGTTTTTGTTCTTAGAAGCAACAAAATCAATGATTTGTCAGGTCAAAAAGACCAACAAGCCGGGCACAGTGATGTGCATTTTTAATCCCACTGTCTCCGGGGGTTGAGGCAGGAGGACCACAAGTTCAAGGCTAGCCTCAGCAACTTAGAGAGCCCCTGAACAACTTAGGGAGACCTCATTACAAAATAAAAAATAAAAAGGACTGGGGTTGTAGCTCAGTAGTAAAGTTCCTCTGGATTCAATCCCTACTACAAAAAAAAGAAAAGAAAAGAAAATGACAACCAAGAACAAAAAGCTAAGGACAAATGCAAACTTTCTACCATGGGGAAACAGGATCAATGGTGGAGGAGAATAGGAAGGAAGAGAAAAATATGGGGAGAAATATGAGTACAGAAGTTTGAAGTGTTTATGGGATATTTAGGTAAATACACCCACAAGACAAATTCAAACAATCATCTGAAGGTACCAACATCCTGAATACACAGGGAATGGAAAAGACCACTATGTAAATAGGCAGACCTAGAAAAAGACTGTGGGGAACCACTTCAAATGCACGCACCTTTAAGTCCTGATGCACCATAGGGATCTGAAAGATCACTATAGTCTGGTGTGTTAGTGCCATGACTCGTGACAGATAACCAGGCAAGGTTATCTGGCACCCAGAGGGGTTGAGCTACACTCACCTGTTCCTTTGAAATCCTACCCCTTGCCTCATTTGAATGGCTTCTCCCCAATAAAAGGGTTCAGCACTTGCTCTTCTCTCTCTCTCTTTACAGGAACCCCTAAGGTCAGAGGAGCCGTCACAGGACCCAAAGAAAAAGGCATTTCTGTCTCTGTGTGATTACTTTGAGCAGAAAGAGAAGATAGTAAGCTGTAATATGTGTGAAGTAATATCTTATTGTGGTTTAGTTTGCATTTCCCTGAAGGCTAACAACAACATTGAACATATGCTGTGGCGTGCACTCATAATCCCAGCTACTCAGGAGGTCTGAGCAACAAACGTGGACAACAAAGTGAGGCACTTGTTAAAAAAGGAGGAAGAGGAATCATCAGAGAAAAGAAGTTATAAAAGTGGTTTACTAGAGACCAAAAGAAGTAATTACTACTAGAAATGAGTGTGCAACAGTGTTCAGACCCAGAAAAGTTTTATGCTTAGAGGTGGAGAACTCAAAAATCAGCCCCTAAATTATTTTCCTGAATTATTTAGAATTCTCACTTTCTGCCCTAGTTAATTCTTCAAATAATATTTATACCCAATTCCCATCACTAATAATATTAATGAAAAATTAATCTAATTTTGATAACTAGAAAGCTCTTTGCAACTCAATTCAGTGATGCTTATTATATCTAAATCACCTCAGTGCCTATGATACATTCAAATCTAATCTGAATTCATTCTCTAATCCTGCATAAATCCTTGACAGAATAATCTCATCAAAATTTTTAAAAAATCTGCTTTATTGCTTTATTGAGGTATAGCTTTTATACAGTCAGAGCCACCAATTTAAAATGCACAATTAGTTCTGTTTTGTTTGCAATGCTGGAGGCTGAACTCAAGCCCTTGAGCATGTTAGTCAAATGCTCTTCCTCTGAGCTACACCTCCAGCCTAAAGTGTATTAACTAATTCTGACAACTGTATAACATTATAATATAAAATGCAATGATGATAGAACATTTTGTCATCCCAAAAAGTTTCCTTGTGCTCCTCTGCAGTCAGTTCCCCACCCTCAACCCAACCACTAATCTAGCACTATAGTTTTACCTTTTCCAGAATGCCATATAAATGACATCATTTATAAAAGTCTTCCATGTCACATTTTTCTGTAGTGTAACAGTTTTTAGATTTATACGTGTTGTTACAAGAACAGTAGAACAGTAGTCTGTTCTTTATTGCTGGGTTGAAGTCCACTAAAATGACATACTGCAATTTGTTTATCCATTCACCAGATGAAGGACATTTTGGTTATATCCAGTTTAGGCTATTATGGATAAATATAAATATTCAAAAATAAATCTTTTTTTAAACTTTTTTTTTTTTTTTTTTTTTTTTTTTTAGTTTTAGGTGGACACATAATATCTTTATTTTTTTATGTGGTGCTGAGGACTAAACCCAGTGCCTCATGCATGCCAGGCGAGCGCGCTACCACTTGAGCCACATCCCAAGCCCTCAAAAATAAATCTTTTATAGACACGTTTTCACTTTTCTTGGTAAATTCCTGGGAGTGGGATTGTTGGTTCATATGGTTAGAATAGTTTTGGCTGCCCCCCAAAATCCCTGCCAAATTGTATTTTAAAGTAGCTGTACTACTTTGTATTTCCACTGGCAAAGAATGAGAGCTCCAGTTGCTCTACATCCACCAACACTCAGTACTACTGATCTTAACTTTATCTATTGTAATATGTGTGAAGTAATATCTTATTGTGGTTTTAGTTTACATTTCCCTGAAGGCTAACAACAACATTGAGCATCTTTTTTCAGTTGCTTATTGATTATTTGTGAAACTTCTTTGGTGAGGTATTTGCTCAAATCTTTTTTTTGCAGGGGGTTACTGGAGATTGAACTCAGGGGCACTCGACCACTGAGCCATATCCCCAGCCCTGTTTTGTATTTTATTTAGAGACAGGGTCTCACTGAGTTGCTTAGCGCCTGGTTGTTGCTGAGGCTGGTTTTGAACTCATGATCCTCCTGACTCAGCCTGGGATTATTGGCATGAGCCAATAATCCAGTTCAAAGTTCAAAGTCAGTCTCAGCAACTTAGCTCTTAGCAATTCAGCAAGACCCTATCTCTAATAAAATATTTTTTTTTAAAGGGCTGGGGATGTAGTTCAGTGGTTGAGCACTCCTGGGTGCAATCCCCAGGATCAAAAAAAAAAAAAAAAAATCTCTGCCCAGCTCAAAGTCACAAAGACATTTTCATTTTCTTCCAAAGTTCATCTAAAAGTTTCACAAGAAAAAAAAAAAAAAAAACTCTTATCAAAAAAATTTTAACAAAATTTCTTAACTCCTGCATTTGATTTATGTCATAGTTATTCAATTTTATTATTTATTTGCTTGTTTCAAATCAACTTCCCACATTACCAAGCATCATTAAAGTTATAGTCTATTTCTAAATTTGAAATGATTTTTATCTTTTTAGCAGATATCCCCTCTTTTCAACTTGGTAAGTGACTTACCTAAATTTAGCCAAGGTTTCAATCCTTTGCTTTTCCTCAAATGGACCAAAACCTCTGCAGCCTGATGCTGGTTCTAAAAACAACAAAATTCCACAACCCAGAGTAAGCTCACTGGGGTTCAGCCAAGGGTGATCAACTACAACCCTTCTGGAGTTAAGATGCTGCTTTTCTAAGATCATTCTCACCATTATTAAGGCACTCTTACCTGTAAGGGGGCTGGAAAAAGCTGTCCCAGAAGAGTTAAATTAAAATTAAGGCTATAAGGTCAAGATGAGCATACTAAAGTAATTCTACAGCCATTAATTCATTTTTTTTCTTGCACCATTCTCTTCAAACAAGCCAGAGTTCCTCAGACTCAAAATGAAATTTATAGTATATACAAAAGCACAGCTTATGCCCTCTAGAATGGAGTCTGCCAATCCTACTCAGTACAATTTAGAGTAGGAAAAGGGATTCAAAGCTAATATAAAACTTGGAGATCAAGAAATGACAATTTACCAATGTTCATTCTATAACCTTGTGGGACATCTGGGGGAAAAAAATAGAAAATTGGCTCATTTACATCCCTATCACATACCTTACCCTAAGTCCAGAAAACATTAGCTTCTAGAATTACTGACCCATAGAGTCCTAGTTGGAACTCTATATGTCAGGGATTAAAGTTGTTTTTGTTTTTCTCATTGCTTCATTCAAACAAATGAACCTAAAAGTGTTACTTTTTAATCAAAGCAAATGTTATGGTAACAGAGGTACTTAACATATAATAATCAAAATAACAAATGGTCTTCTAAACTAAGAATAAATTTCTTAGTTATTTTGAAAGTCATTTTATAAGAATTTTGGCTTAATTTTTTAGAAATATTTTAATAATACTCTGCATTATAAGATGTTTCTGGTCTCTGCTTTTTTTCAGGCTTAAACAACTGACTAATTGATATTTTTCATCACAGACTGTGGATGTAACTAAGTGGTATTGTCCTTGCCTAGCACCCAAAGGGGGGAAAAAAAAGATTCTTCATCACTATTAAGTCATCTTCACTAAAGAGAACCACAGAAGCTCTGCATGTGACATAGATACTCATTTGTACAGAGGTGAAATTTCAAGCAGGAAAAGTGGTGTTCAATCACAATGAAGTATCCAGAAAGAACTCCCCAAGTACAGTGTTTTCTAAAGTACAGAACGATACTATGAGATTGTTTTAAATGAAATTCCTATACATACATTTAAAATAAAAAGGTTTTTATGATTTTCTTTTCTATATGGTGATGCCAGTTTTTCATGTACGTTAGTTAAAAATTAAAAAGAATATTAAGGAAATCACATTTTAGCTGGCAAATGGGTGTGGCAAAAATCATGATAATGGTGGGCAAAGGACAGAAGTTTGGGAAACACTTACCCTAGAAGATATTCTGGAAAACAAGTAAAAACCCCAAACTCATACATGAACTTTAGAGAGATCCATTGGCAAGATCCTATAGCTTCATATTTTCACAAACTGGCTTTTTTTGTTTTGTTTTGTTTTCTTTTCTTTGGGTTTTTCTTTTCTTTCTTTCTTTTTTTTTTTTTTTTTTTTGTTTTGTTTTTGGTATTGAGGACTGAACTCAGAGGTGTTTTACTACTGAGCTACATTCCTAATCCTTTTTATTTTGAGACAGGGGCTTGCTAAATTCCTGAGGCTGGCCTTGAACTTGCGATTTCCTTCCTTGGCTTTCCAAATTGCTAGGATCACATGAGTGAACTACCATGCCCAACTAACTGATTAATTCAAATTTCATTCTGCTTTTTCTAATTGATGCTTACTGTATTCTCAGTTGACTGGATTCAAGGCTGGAGTCACATTCAGCTCAGAAAGATGAAGGGTTGACAACTATTTCGGAGATGACAATGTAGTATCTAAATCAACAAATTAACAGATAAATTAACAGATTTATTTTTGTTCAGGTGTCTTTTCAAAAGGAAAATTATTAGCTTCAATTTACTACTTCCTCCTATCCTGATTCTTCTTCTGCATACAAAATGGACTCTATTATGATGATCCACACAATTAAGACAGGCCCCCATGTTACCAACCCATGGCAGCTTTTATGCTTTGGTGACCCTGGGCCACTGAATCTTGGCTATAACAAGAAGATTTTAAAACTAATTCTCTGAGCCTGACAAGCTGTCTCCCTCAATAAGTCTAAGAAGTTGTTATTTCATTAACTGTGCATGAAGTGGCAGGCAAGTGGCCAGATCCGTAGTCCAGCGGGGTAGAAACAGAATTGTTGCACATATACTTAAAAGCTAACAATAATTTCTGCCTCTATTATGATTCACTACTTTCAATTCTACTCTTATTTAAAGGGGAAACAAATTATTTATACAATTTAAAGGAAGAACAATTTTTTTTGATGGTGTTATGGATCAAACCTAGGGTATCACACAAGCTAGGCAAGTTGTCTACCATTGATCTTGTTAGGCAAGCACTCTACCCCCAGTCCAAAAGGAATAACAATCTTAAATGAGCATTTAATATTTCTTTAAGATTCCAAGGAGAAAAACTCAACTAATCACAAAAATGGCAACATAATATGACTCAATGTAAAGAAGAAACTCAACACTTATTAATTCAAAACAAAATTTCTGTTGACCTAATAATCAATGTTACCAAATAAGGACTTAATTTCTTCAAATGGATATTAAGAACCTACCACATGTCAAGCAATAAGCTGTACCAAAATGAGTAAGACAGTCCCCAACTCCTTAAAAACATACAGATTAGCAAAGAAAACAGACAAATTAATCACTATTATAATTCCATGTAGTAAAATCTATGAGGTGAGCACTAGGTGCTGTTCGAGCCTAGAATGGGCACCTTCATCAGGATTAGCTCATAGCTTCTCAAGTACCTTCACATCACCTTCCTAGGAGCAAAGCCAACTCTTCACTCAGTTACCAGTGGTTTGGGAATCAAGGAATGGTACTATGTAGTATTATTTATTTTCATGATCAATGACTTTTACTCTTCATCAATGATCAGAGGGGATTACTGGACCACATACATAGCACAGAAAAAGCACTCATCGGGAAACTCAACCTGTTTGTAAAAATTATACATGGTCCAATTGCAATGTGGTATTCTGGACTGGGTTATGGGACAGAACATGAGTGGAAAACTTCTAAAAGAACATGAGTGGAAAAACTTGTAAAATCCAAACAAAGTCTGTAGTTCCACTAATAATCCTGTTAATTTCTTAGTTGTTTAACATCTGTACCATGGTTGTGTAAGAAGTTAACATTAGGAGAAGCTGGCCAAAGGTATACAGAAACACTCTGAACTTTCTTTGAAACTTTTCTATAAACTTAAAATTGTTCCACAATTTATTATTTTTTTGTTTTTACTTAAATATGGTTTCTTATGTAACATCCTTACTTCTCCTTGAGATCATGCCTCTTAATCATTGCCTCAACTCAAATATGCTAGGCTAAATATTTTTTTAGAAAATCTTTTTCAACTCCTTCCTGTAAACCATTTGCACAGCCAGGCTGGGTTTCCTTCTTCACCAAGACATAAAAAGCTAGATCATACTTGGAAGGTTTTAGATGCTTTCTCTTCCTAATAGCTTGAATATATATCAGGGGGTATATATTCTTGGATTTGAACTGCCCAAAGAGGACAGACCAGACTCCACTAATGTCATAAAATCGAATCTGTCATATGGCATGTTGACTGTAATAATAACAGTACTGACCTGGACCACTTCCAGAAAGATGAACAGGTGAAATAATTTCTCTATAATAATTCAATTCACAAATCTCTATTTAATGACCTACCACAGTTTAACTGTTCACAAGCCTTTCTCCAATATAGGACTAAGGTCTTAAAATGTAACTAGCACATTGCCTAAGGCAAAATGGGTCCTCAATAAATGCTTTGTGAAAGAAAACACAATAGTAATCTACCTTTGAGATCCTTTTATAAACCAATTAAATATCCAGACCTAGTAGAGCATGCTGTATACCATGCTACCACATTTAGGAAGCAGTCAAGTTACCTGAAAAACAATTAATAGCAACTAATGTTTGTTCGGAAAAAAAAAAAAAAAAGTCATGAGTCATAAAGATCAATGTAAAAATTTTAACTAAAAGTGTCATAAAGATCAATGTAAGGGGGTTGGGGATGTAGCTCAGTGGTAGAGTGCTTGCCTCTCATGCACAAAGCCCTGGGTTCAATCCCAAGCACCACCACCAAAAAAAAAAAAAAAATCAATGTAAAAATGTTAACTAAAAGTAGAGAGATACCTCTAAATTAATTTTGTTTCCCTTGAGAGCCACAAACATGAATCCACCTATAACTTTCTAATATTGAGAGGACACTGAATCCTAACCACTAGACTACCAAGGATCACCAACTTTCCAACACTATTAATACAAAACTTTAAGGAATCTTTGATTATCCATAATACTTTATAATTTGTTATCAACTCAAATTGGTAAATTAGTCCAATTAGTGCATGGGGGAAGTCCAAGCCAAATTATATGTTCACAATGTGGGTCCAATGCTTTGATTCTTTTTCTTCAAAACTGAAGAAAAATACAAAATAACCCTCTTGACTGCTAAGAATTACAATAATTTCTCTTCCTTACAAGTATGTACCTGAAAGCCATTCCCTCCTGCTTCGATCCAACACAACCAACACCACCTCTTCTCTTCCCATTCCTATCAAAGAATGTTAGAGAGTATCCAAGTAGTTTAATCTCAGGCTATAAGAATCTCAGATTTCAACAAAATTACAATGCAGCAAAAACATACCTTTCTAAGCATGTTCTCATCCCCCATGGTATTCCCACACTAATTTAGCTCCCTATCAAATATTAATAAGGAAATAAGAAAATTCTCAGAACAAAAATTGCAAACCACTTTTTAAAAAATTTTTATATGAGTTCCAAAAATCAGGGGACCTAATACCAAGGAAGTGTTTTCCATCAGTGCCTGAATTTAAATGCAAATTACTATTCAATCATATGCAATTGTTCCTCTGAATGAAATATATACGCTGCAAAAACAAAACAAAATGTTTAGAAACTGATTAGTAAATTACCAAATCAGTCTCTAAATGTTTCACTTTGTTTCTGAAGTGCCAGAGATTGAACCAGGATCTCTGAGCTGCAGCCCAGCACTGAGCTACAAGCCAGCACTGAGATACATCCCAGCACTCTGAACTGACTTAAAAATAACTGGCAATGTTTACTTTAAAAGCTTACTGCCCAGGGGCTGGGGATGTGGCTCAAGTGGTAGCGAGTTCGCCTGGCATGCGTGGGGCCCTGGGTTCGATCCTCAGCACCACATAAAAATAAAATAAAGATGTTGTGTCCACCGGGAAAAAAAAAAAAACAACTAAAAAATAAATAAATAATTTTTTTTTTTTTTAAAAAGCTTACTACCTAATCACCAAGAGGTTCTAATGTATTAAAAAAAAAAAAAAGGTTGCTATTAGCTCTACCCATGAATGACAGTTTGGCAGACAAGCTGTTCTGAGAGATTAAGACCGTCTAGTGACTTCAAATGGAGTAAAGCAAAAGGTACATACAGAATCTGTAGATATTCTAATAATAAAACTACTTCAACATCAGAAGTTCAGAGCCTACAAATATGCAAACCACAAAGCAATCTAAATCATGCATGCTTAAAGGAGAAAAGAGAAGCAGGACAAACAGTAGGTCTACATTCAAATCAACACGAGAAACTGCCCCGCAACTGAGCTTCTCAAGACCTGAAAAACTGATGAGAAAAAGGTTTTGAGGCTTATCAACATATTCAAGTTCCAAAATAGTGAA